AGACATTTCTCCATCCATGTTTTCATCTACCTTTCTTTATTTTTCTATTTGTTTTCAGCCATTTCCAACTGTTTCCAAACATTTACAATCAATTCTGCGTATTTCTTGAATCACTAAATTTAACTAAATAAACCAATGGAATGGACCTTATTGGGCTTCCTTAGCTAGCTCATAGTTGTTCTATATATCAGCACACATTCGGAAGGTATTCTGAAAAATTATCAAAAATTTTAAAAAATATATTTTTATATAAAATAATGAATTCTTACTATTCAATTCCAAAATCGTGACAGATTTAAGAGTAAAAATTTCAAGTAAAGGATATTAAGGTATAATCAAGGAATATTCAAAATATAAATATAGTATGATGGTAAAAGATGCATATGAGTGACAATAATGTGAGGGAAGTGGATGTAATCTGGACATTTAGGTTATTTTAAAGATAAATTATTATTTAAGATTTAAATCAGATAGATGTTGTACTTTCTTTTATATAAAATTTGATTTATGTTTCTAATTTTGATAAATTTAGTTAAAGTTGTGTACTTAGAAGTAGAAAATTAATATATTTAATGATTAAAATCACATTAGTACCAGCTCTTTATCAATTTTGTGATTGTTGGGTTTTGGCCTATACAAGAATTATGAAGGGGGGTTTAAATTGGTTCACTTATAACTTTCTTTGTTGACAATTTTATGTTGATGTTATGAGAGATTATCTTAACGACCTATATTTCTCTAAATCGTAAATTAAAGTCATGCGCTAACATAGTATTGTATAATGACTTGGCTTCTCACCTACATCCATTCTGTAAGAAAAATTAATATTCTTAGTTCCACTAATTATAATTGTTCTATCATACACTACTGATTAATGAGATTAGCTCCCTTGAAGGTTCACTGAGAATCTCCTTTGTAGATTCATGTTGCTTGGAGGCCAAGAGTTGTTTAAAGAGATAGCTCCCATGAGTCACCAAGTTATACTTGAATAATAGGTTTATTTCATAATAAATATGAAATGATTTCACCATTCGTAGTTTTTCTGTAGAATCAAGTTGACTTTAAGTATATCTAGAATTCTAACAAAGAGGATGATGTTTGTTAGCTTGAAATCATTGTCATCCTTTTGTTAGATTGTTGGTTGTTGATGGAAGATTCCTTAAGCTTAGAACAGGGGAGTGGGATCTTATAATGCTTTATTTGAGCTCCTCAAAACTTGTTGTCTTTAAGTAGATTAACTCTTCAGCACCATCCTCACTATTTTTACTTAAATTTCTTAAGTGAAATGCAAAACTAGAGGTCATTTTGAGGATAAAGATGAAAAATTTATGCATGTATAGCCATTTCAAGATTAATAGGATTTATAGATAAATTGCTACAAAATTCTTCTCAAACCTTTGTAATTTTCCAATAACTATTTTCTCTAAAATAAGTTTAATGAGCCAATTAAGAGACCAGTAAAATATATCACTTAAATGATTAGCATATCCTTGTATTAAGCCAACATGTATTTCTGTTAGTAAATATTCATATCCGAATCAAATTAGTTCGATCAAGACTAGTAAAGATCTAATATCAGTAAAATATGCCTAACAATCTGCATACAAGTATAAAGATCATTAAGGAACCATATCATATTAAAATTATCTTAAATGAAATATGATCATCAAGTCAACAGCTTGAGTCATTATTTAAACACTTGTAATCATGATTTTGGTGATTCATAATTATCTAAAATAAATTTCTAAAATATATTCTTTAATATCAAAAAAATTGTATTCAATTGAATAGATAATGTGAATTCAATCTTTAATTCATTCCTAAAATATTTCAGACTAAAATTGAAAAAATATGATTTCATAAGTGACAAATTGAGTTTTCATACCCATATTTCATTTTACAAAATCTCATTGATTTGTGTATCATAATTAGTCAATTTCTTATTGTGATAGTTGACGTGACTCAGTTGTTATATAGTAAATCACATAAATTTAAAATTTATAAAACTAGAAAATATGAAATTTCAGATATTTAGAAGTATTTCTGAACAAATATATTAATTATAATTCAATAAAACTTCTCAAAATAGCGGTAATTTTTGAGGTCGATCACAGGGATGTAATATAATATCTGGTAATTATTCAGAATTTTCCTCAAAGAATACTATTTTCTATGAATTTTATACTAAGAAATGAAAATGAAATATATTTAAAATTCACGAAAAAGAGAAATAAGGCTGCGGACGTCAGGATGACGTTAGCACTTAGCGAACGCGAATCAGGTGAAAACAGAGTTCCGCCTGGCGATTCTTACCTAAGTGATTATAGATGATTTAATTGATCAAATTAAGATTTGTAAAAGTTGAAAGAATCGTAATGGAATGAAGTATATCTTGGTAAATTTAAATCACACAAATTATCACTAAATGAAGCAGAAATTAAGTTGCGGCGGTGATGCATCGGCGATACATCGGAATCCTGAGCGTTTAGGAGGATCATCGTGCAATGTCTATGGCTTTAAAAGCTCTCCTTGGACAAAGACGACGTGGGCAATCTTTAGATCTCCTTGTGAAGTCTAAAGATCAATGAAATGGGTTGTAGAATCGTCTCTGGTGGCTGTCATCCGGTAGAGCGAAAAAACGGTAACTTTGCGGCTCTCTGACGGTTGTCACCTAACGGAGAGGAGCTGGATGGAGGTGGGGCGCGTGTTAGGGAGCTTCATCCTCAGATCCGCACAGGAACATGACGCTCTTCATCGCATCTGATACCCTCTCAAGAGGTGGCAACTTGTCTCCTGGTGAATCGTCCTCTTCCCGACGACAGCTTGTTCGTTGATCAATCAAAGATGCTTTACTCGGTGGATTTGCGATCCTTTTATCGAGAATCGTTCATGAATTTTAGTAACAATGCTTCGCGAATCACGTTGACTAGATTTTCGCCGATGATCTAGTAATTCTGGTTGCTTAATCCTTCACCAGTGATCTGCAAGAAAGTCATGATAATCAGATAGAAAATATGAGTTTTGGCTCTGGGAGGATTCGAACCCGTGCCAGTTGCCCACCCTTTTTGGGGAAGGTGTGACGTGGGTTTAGTCCCACAGTTGTGCGCCGAATTTTTGGACGAATATATAGTAATGTTACATTTGTAAGCAAATCCCTTTCTCGCACGTGTACGACCACTCCTTGCCCCACAGTCGGCTGGCCACCGATGACATAGAAGAGGAGTGGCGCACACGTGCCCCTATCAGTCCAAGCCGCTCGAGCCCCTACTCAGGGCTCCTCCTCGACTGCACTTCCGACCTACTTGAGGGCCCGGCTGGCTGGCGGGTCCCCCTCATTTTGTTATATTTTTATTTTTTTTCTTTTTCTTCATTTATCTCAAAAGTAAGACTGTAAAAATCATATAAATTCGTATAAAATCACATAATTACCCAAAATTTCATGTTAATCAACTAAAAACCACTTTTCACATTTTAACACAAATATAAGTCTATTTATGATGAGTTAAAGCTAAAACTATATTATTTACTAATTATTAATTCATGATAATGAAGACTTATTAGTAGTTTTCTTAAATTCTTATAATTTTCATAATAATACATAAAATAGTAATTCCTCATTATGTAATTGATGTTCACTTGTCTTTGTGTTTAAATACATATTATCGAATAATATTTATAACTAAGACTTAATAAGATAATAGTATAGATGTAAGTCTCAAGTCGAACACAAGGAGATTGATTAATTCATCATAAAAACTAATTTAGTTTATAGATAGAGTGATTTTACTATTTTATCACTATTTAATGGAAATAAAAAAATAAAAAGATGAGGTGAGAAGAATAAAAGAAGAGAAATAGAGAAAGAAAGAAAGAAAAGAGAGAGAAGAGAGAGCTCACATGAAAGAGAGAAGGGATCTCTCACGAAAGAAAGAGAGAGGGAGAGAAGAGAAATCTCATGTGATACAGAGAGAGAGAGAGAGAAATGTCTTATGAGAGAGAAAAAGAGAGAAGGAGAGAAATCTCATGTGAGATAGAGAGAGAGAAACATCTCACGAGAGAGAGGGAGAGAGATAGAGAGAGATCTCATGAGAGATGGAGAGAGAAGAATGTGTCTTAAGAGAGAGGGCGAGAGAGAAATTAGACAATATTTAAGAAAGAGAGAAACATGGTCAAGTCATTTTCGTGGTGACCATGATTCTCAAACAAATGTATACTTGAGAATTCACACAAGATATGAGGTCAGTCGTGAGTGTCTCCACCTTATTTTAACAGTTCAATGCTCATTAATCAGTCTTTTAATCTCGCTGATTTCTTGTTCGAAAATAGAAAGATACTTGTTATTCATAGAATGTCAAGAACATGAATAGATCAAGATTTGACTATGAAAATCAATGAAAAACAAGTTGAGCATGATCCTAGCTTGATCTCATACGAGTTTCAGAAGATTTAGAAGAAAAATAGAAATCATTTATTAAGTTTTTGTTGGGTTTTACTAATTTATATTGAAAATGTATGAAATAGAAATAAATTACCGTAAAATGTAAATAAATGTTGAAAACACATAAAAAAATGACAAAAGCAACAAATAAATCATTGACTAAGTTTACCACTCGCTAGAGAAGGTAAGAATTGACCACTCATCGGAGGCCTTTAGTGTAGTTAGGGGAAGAATGAACGAGCTCACCTATTGTTGGAGGTGTTGATCGCATGAAAAGAGTGAAGAACAAATTGTTGTATTCATGACTACTATTAAGAGTAGTCATGATTATTTGATTATTAAATAATTTCTATTTTACTAAAAAATAATTGATTATTATCTTTATATCCCAAATAGTGTGGGCACATAGAACAACTTATAAAAAACCCATTGGGATCTCTCCTTATCATCTTATCTATGGTAAATCTTGCCATCTATTGGCTGAACTTGAGCACTGAACATATTGGGCTATTAAATAACTTAATTTGTTTTTATACCATGTAGGTTACATCGTCTTCTTCAAATGGAAGAACTTAAAGAGCTACGTAATGAAGCTTATGAGAACTCTGGCATTTACAAAGCCAAACTCAAAGCTTTTCATGACAAGAATTTAAGTTGTAAATCATTTTATGAAAATCAAAAGGTTTGGTTATACAACTCACAATTAAAATTATTCTCTAGCAAACTCAAGTTTTGATGGGATGGCCCTTACACTATTGTGCAGATCTCTAATTGTGGAGCTGTTTTAATTCTCAACCTTCTTGTCTTAGTAGCAGCTGCTGACTGTCGTAGAAGAATTTTTTTTATTTTGATCTTTTATTTCTATTTTTTTTTATGTAGCATATGTTGAGCTGTTTTCTTTTTACTTTCTTTTGCAAAGGTCACTATGTTAAGCTGAAGTGGATCTTCCTCAGCCATCAAAATGGGTTTGGTACCCTTCACCCCTCATTTTATTTCTCTTTCTTTCGTAGTGCATTGAGGACAATGCATGATTCTATTTGAAGGGTTGGTACAATACTAAGGTAAGAAATGCACGAGTTTATTATGCTTCATACTTTTCAAAACTCTCTTAAATCAGAGCACAAACTTTGAAAATTTTATTTTGGTGAATAGAAATAATATTGCCCTGATTATGAATGTATAGATCAAATTTCATTGATTACTAGCAAAATTTCATGTAGGCATATTTCTATATTGGAATTAGTATAGTAAATTGCATCCTGTCTTACCAAATCAAAACATATTTTTTTGAACTGTATTAGAGCTAGCTGAAGTATTTTTGAATCATTGGTCAGTGCTTTTGTGCATTGGTTGGTGGGATTGAAGCTACAAGTTAAACTTTTGTGCATATAAACCAAGCATGACAAAGATTCAAAAAAAAAAAGCTAGTCTAGAGATAAAGTAAACTAGTGATAAATAGAAGTATGGAGATTTTAATCTCTATCTAATGAAGACTTAGAGATATCTAAATATGAAATGAGTTAGTCTTTCTTTGAATTTTGTGAAGTGCAGGTTCATAATTATGCATGTAATGATGAAGATGAACACAACAAAATCATAGCAACACAATCATTTTTAATTTATTGCTAAGGGACTAGCAATGAGAGGAGTTGGGGGGTGTGATAGCACATGAATAATGTGTTGGAACACACCTTAACTTGGTTAATTTCATATTTCTATGATATTATTAATGTGTTGTTTATATTAATAAAGATAATTTTTAACATATTTCAGATATAGTAATATTTCAAATATTTTTTAGAATTTTATGGGATTAATCTCCTCATATACATTTGGCTATTTGATTAAACTATTGATGCCCCTGAAAACATCACACGATAGTCATCCCGAACATACAGAATTCTGATGATCATTGTTGCGAGGTCAAAAATCTTTCTTTCCTATTCTCAACTTAATTTTTGCTTAATTTAGTGATACTTTGCGTGATTTCAAGTTGCTAAAATCTTCTTCATTTAATTACGATTCTTCTGACTTTTACAAATCTTAATTTGACTCATTAACTCGTCTATAATCGGTTACGTAAGAATCATCAAGTGGAACTCTATTTTCGCTTGAATTGCATTCCTAAGGAAGTTAACATTATCATGACGTCTGCACCCTTATTTCTATCTTTCGCTCTAGTAATTGCTACTTCATAATAGAGATTAGAGAAGGAAAAGGCCCATAATTGATGATAGTCAATGTATCATGATCATAGACTACTTTATATGGAGTAGTTTTAATAGAGAAGTGTTATGCAATGTTATAGGATAATTATGTCAAATGTAGCCAAGACTACTAGTCCCTTGGTTGATTTGACACAAAACACCCTAAATAAAATTCTAAAGATTGGTTTACTAACTTAGTTTACCCATCAGTTTGAGGGTGATATGATCATGACATTCAGAGTTGAATCCCTTACAATTAGCATAGTTTGCACTAGAAATTAGTAGTGAATACTTTGTCATGATAAAAAACAAGGGATTTAGGCAGGCCATGTAGACGGACCACTTCTTTTGCAAAGGCCTGCGCCACCTATGGTGTTGAAAATAGATATTTTAATAGGATGAAGTAGATGTACTTACTAAGACGATCCACCATGACCAATATAGTATCAAACTCTTTGGATTTAAGTAGGCCTTCTATGAAGTACATAGAAAGGTCTCCCCATACTTGATGATGGATGGACAACAACTGCAATAAACCTACAGGAGAGATGAAATTTTGTTCCTTTAACATACTTGACAATTCTCCACGTATTCTTTAATGATCCTTTTCATGTCCTTTCAAAAGATGTGCTGGGTGAGTATCTTATATAAGTGCAAAAATCTCATGTGGCCTCTGATTGATGAATCATAAGCATCTCTTAGTAGCAATGGTATTAAGGATGAATCAGATGGTAATACCAACTTATTTTGGTGTAAAGAGAAATGGAGTACTTCTAACCCCTTGGTTAATAATTCCACAATATGATAGAGTGTGGCATCTTGAGAGACTTTTTACTAGACAATTGCAAGATCCAATAGATAGGGTTGGAAGGCTGAAGTCATCCTTAGGTCCCCCATGTGAGGTGCTTGGGATAAGGTGTCAGCATAGTATTAAGTTGTCCCTCTTTATATTTGATAATAAAATTGAATCCCAACAATTTGATGAGTCATTTGTGATATTGGAGATAAACATACTATTGTTCAATAAGATATCTTAGACTATATTGATCCATTTGGATGAAGAAATGACTATGAATTAAATAGTGTTGCCATTTGTCCACTACTTTGACAATAGTGATAAGTTTCTTTTTGTAAGCTGATTTGAGTTGGTGTTATATGAAAGAACTTGATTTTGAAAAGCCATTAGACTTTCTATTTGCATTAGTATCCCACCTACTCTATGACTAGATGCATCTATTTCAAGAACAGAAGGTAATGAAAAATCTAGTAAAGCAAGAATAGGTGTAGAAGTTATTAACTCTTTGAGTTGGAGGAATGATGCTTGAGAAGATAGACTCCATGTATAAGAGTCTTCTTGAGTAATCAAGTTAGGAGCCAGGTGATTGAGGCATAGTTGACCATGAATTTCCTAAAATAACCCATGAGACCCAAAAATCCCCTGAGCTCTTTAATATTCTTTAGAGGCAGCCAATTAAACATGGCTAAGATCTTTCATTTGTCTCTTGTCATGCCTTCAATAAAAATTCAGTGGCCTAGATATTCAATATAAGGTTGAGCAAATTAACATTTATTGACATTAATATAGAGGTTGTTCTTAGATAGGATAATAAAGATCTATGTCAAATGTTTCTTGTGATTTTGTAGATTTTGGCTGTAAACTAAGAGATCACCAAAAAATATGAGTACAAATTTTCTTAGAAAAGGTCGGAATAGCTCGTTAATAAGTCATTGAAAAGTAGTCAGTATATTAGAGAGACAAAAGGCATGACGACGAATTCATAATGTCCATCATGGGTTTTACATGTTGTCTTTGGGACATATGGGGCCTTCATATGAATTTGACAATATCTTGACTTTAAATTCAACTTAGAGAAAATACTCATACCTTGCAACTCATTGTTAAACTCATCCACAATAGGTATAGGATATCTATTGGGGATTATTACCTTGCTTAGTGCACAATAGTCTACATAGAATTGCCATCTCCCGTCTTTTTTCTTCACCAACAAAATAAGACTTGTATAAGGGCTTTATGAGGGTTGGATAAATCTTGTTGATAGGAGTTCTTGTACCAACTTCTCAATTTCATCATTTAGGAAGTAAGAATAATGATATGGGTGTAGATTCACCAGTCTACTACCTAGAACAATATTGATGAAATGATCCACTCACACTCTATGAGTAATCTAACTATGGGGGAAAAAATAGATGAAAATAATTATTTAGATTTGGATTCAATCCTAGTGGCCTTGGTGGTAGTTACTAATTCTTGTTCAAATTGCACCTAATATAACTTCAAGTAGATTGGTGGCTATTTGCTAATGGTTTTTTGTAGCATCTTTAGTGAGAGTTCTGATTTGGACAATTTTGAATCTCCTCCAAGGACTTTCACCATGTCATTTACTACAAACTTCATAGTTAATTTCTCCAAATTCACATGCATCCATCTCGTTGAGTTAAGTCATTGCATTCCTAGTGTCACATCAGTGTTCCCTAATGTGAGTGGTAAGAAGTCTTTAGTGATGTCCAAGTCTTTAGAAAAATATTCTTGTAGATTTTGTTAGATGGCCTCTCCATTTCTCATGAGGATTTCATAACTCATTTCTATGTAAGGTATATTGAGGTGTGCACATATCTATGAACATATGAAATTATGTATCACACTTGAATCAATTAGGATGGTAATCACTTGTCCTCACAGTGTCTCTTCCATCTTTATGGTTCTTGCTTGTGCTGAGTCCTACCACCGAATTTAAGGAGACTTGTGTTGTGAATAGTATTCCTCCTTTTTCTAGTTGAGACTCTTCATCCCTGAAATCATATAATACATCCTCAAAAGTTCTTTGGTCATCTTCATGAATAATTAAAATTTGTAGTTATTTTTTACAACAGTGTCTTGGGCTGACCTTTTCCTCGCAATGATAGTGAAATCCTTTTCATAGTGGCTCTAGTACTCCGCATTAGTCAACATGATATATTTCTGGTACCTATTGTCACTCTTTATCACTTGCTGTGGAGGATTGCTGATAACTCTTCATTATCATGAGTTAACAATCAATAAATAATATAGGTTAAGCCTTAACTCATGATAAATAGACTTATATTTATATTAAAATGTGAAAAATAGTTTTTAATTGATTAATGTGATTTTTTTGGCTAATTATCTGATTTTCTATGATTTTCTATGGTTTTTATAGTCCTATTTTTGAGATAAATGAAGAAAAATAAAATTGAAATAAAAAAATAGCAAAAGGGTGGAACCCCCCTACCAATCAGACCCGCAAGTAAGTCGGAAGCACAATTAGGGGGAGCCGTGAGTAAGGGCTTGAGCAGCTAGGACCAATGGGGGCACACGTGCACCACTCCCCTTCCATGTCACTGGTGGCCAATCGGCTGTGGGGTAAAAAGTGGTCATATACGCAGAAGAAAATGACTCATTACTTGCAAATGTGATATTACTATATATTCGCCCAAAACTTTGTCACACAAGTAATGTGGGACTAAACCCACATCATACATTTCCTTGAAAGGCTTCGAAGGCGAGCAACCAATGTGGATTCAAATCCTCTTAAAGCCAAACTCGTATTTTTATCTAATTATTGTGACTTTCTTGTAGATCGCCGGTGAAGGATTAAGCTGCCAGAATCACTAGATCATCAGTGAAAATCTTGTCAACGTAATTCACGGAGTATTGTTACTAAAATTATTGAATGATTCGCAATAAAATGATCACGAATTCATCGAGTAAATCATACCTGATTGATTGACGAACAAGCCGTCATTGGGAAAAGTACGATTCACCGAGAGTGTACCAGATGTGATGAAGAGCCTACTCTTGCTACACAAACCTAAGGATGAAGCTTCTTGACACACTGATAGTCTTCATTATCATGAGTTAATAATTAGTAAATAATATAGTTTTAGTCTTAACTCATGATAAATAGACTTATATTTGTGTTAAAGTGTGAAAAGTGGTTTTCAATTGATTAATGTGATTTTTTGGGTAATTATGTGATTTTATACAAATTTATATGATTTTTATAGTCTTACTTTTGAGATAAATGAAGAAAAAGAGATAAAAATAAAAATAAAACAAAATGAGGGAGACCTGCCGGCTAGCCAGGCCTGCTAGCGGGTTGGAAGCGCAGTCAGGAGTAGCCGTGAGCAGGGGCTCAAGCGGCTTGGACCGATAGGGGCACGTGTGCTCCACCCCCCTTCCACGTCACCGGTGGCTAGCCAACTATGGGGCAAAGAGTGGTCGTACACGCGCGAGAAGGGGACTTGATCAGAAATGTAATATATTCACCAGACACTTTGCTGCACAAGCGATGTGGGACTAAACCCGCGTCACCTTCCTAGAAAGGGCAGGCAACCGGCACGAGTTCGAATCCTCTCAAAGCCAAAACTCATATTTTTTATCTGATTATCGCGACTTTCCTGCAGATCGCCGGTGAAGGATTAAGCAACCAGAATCGCTAGATCATCGGCGAAAATCTCGTCAATGCGACTCGTGAAGCATTGTTACTAAAATTGTTGAATGATTCGCAATAAAAGGATTGTGAATCCATAGAGTAAAGCATCTCCGATTGATCGACGAACAAGTCGTCGTCGGGAAGAGGACGATCCATCGGGAGATGAGTCGTCACCTCTTGAGAGTGTACCGGATGCAATGAAGAGCCTCCTCTTGTTGTGCAGACCTGAGGATGAAGCTCCCTGGCATGCGCCCCACCTCTATCCAGCTCCTCTCCGTCGGGTGACAGCCACCGGAGAGCCGCAAAGTCACTGTTTTTTCACTCTGCCAGGTGACAGTCGTTAGAGACGATTTGACGACTCATTTTATTGATCTCTAAACTTTGCAAGGAGATCTAGAGATTGCCCACATCATCCTTGTCCAAGGAGAGCCTTTGAGGCCGTGGACATTGCATGACTATCCTCCCGAATGCTTAGGATTCCGGTGCATTGCCGACACATCACCGTCACGACGCCGAAACTCTATTTTCCTTCAACTTAATTTTTGTTTCATTTAGTGATAATTTATTGATTTTAAATTTACCAAGATATACTTCATTCCATTACGATTCTTCTGGCTTTTACAAATCTTAATTCGATCAATTAAATCGTTTGTAATTGCTTACATAAGAATCACCGAGCGGAACTCTATTTTTGCTCGATTTGTGTTCGCCGAGCGCTAACATCATCCTAACATCTGCACCCTTATTTCTCTTTTTTGTGAATTTTAAATATATTTCTTTTTCATTTCCTAGTATAAAATTCATAGAAAATAGTATTCTTTGAGAAAAATTCTGAATAATTACCATATATTATATTACATCCCTATGATCGACTTGGAAAATTACTGCTATTTTTGGAAGTTTTATTGAATTATACTTGATATATTTGTTTAGAAATACTTCTGAATATCCGAAAATTCATATTTTCTAGTTTTATAAATTTTAAATTTACGTGATTTACTATACGATGACTAAGTCATGTCACACACGTCCTACCTCCATCCAGCTCCTCTCTGTCGGGTGACAGCCGCTAGAGAGTCACAAAATTATTGTTTTTTTACTCCGCCAGGTGACAGCCGTTGGAGACGATTCAACGTCTCATTTCATTGATCTCTAGTCTTTGCAAGGAGATCTAGAGATTGCCCACGTCGTCCTTGTCCAAGGAGAGCCTTCGAGGCTATGGACACTACATGACGATCCTCCCAAACGCTTAGGATTCTAGTGCATCGTCAATACATCGTCGCCATAATGCCAGAACTCTATTTTCGTACTTTCAACTTAATTTCTACTTTATTTAGTGATAATTTGTGTGATTTAAATTTACCAAGCTATACTTCATTCAACTACAATTCTTCTGACTTTTACATATCTTAATTTGATCAATTAAATCATCTGTAATCACTTAAGAATCGCCGAACGGAACTTTGTTTCCATCTGATTTGCGTTCATCGGCCACTGACGTCATCTTAATATCTACACCCTTATTTTTCTTTTTCACGAATTTGAAATATATTTTATTTTTATTTCTTAGTATAAAATTCATAAAAACTCATATTCTTTGAGGAAAATTTTGAAAAAGTACTTGATATTATATTACATCTCTATGATCAATCTAGAAATTACTATTATTTTTGAAAGTTTTATTGAATTATAACTAATAGATTTGTTCAAAAATACTTCTAAATATTTAAAAATTGATATTTTTTAGTTTTATAAATTTTAAATTTACGTAATTTAATATACAACAACTATGTCATGTCAATTACCCTTGGACTTCTATTCTATGAGGGACGTTAGGTGCTTAGTCTTCTCTTGTTCACTATATAATGTAAGTAAATGGTTATCAGTAGGCTTATTAGAAGTAAAGTTACTTTGCTGGAAACATTTGGGTAAATGATTGTCCCAAGCTTCTCAAAAAGTATGAATGTCTTGTTCCTCCTATATTGATGCATCCATAATTTCCATTAGTTTCCACTAGGGTCATGTGGGCTAACTCTACCTAAACTTCTGGTTTTAGGCCCTTCATATAAGTATTCTCCATTACCACATCTTAGAGTTTCAATAGATAAGTAGAAAGATGCTCTACTCAGCTTGATATTCTTAGACTAATTGATCCTATTGGAGATTCAAGAATTTGTAGAATGTGTTTCTCTCTATCACAGTGTCAAAGTATTTTCTCAATTACATTTGAAAGTCCTACTAATTGTAGAAAGGATATCTTTTATCTTTCCATAAGTACCACTCTAACACTAGACCATTCGAACTTCATCATTGTCATTTCTAGTTGGTCTTATTCTTATACTTTGTTTAGTATGAAGAACCTCTCAGTACATCTTAACTAGTCCTCAAAATTTTCTCTCTGGAGTATTGGTATTTCCCTTTTTTAGGTGTACTGAATGATTGTATGACCAAATGTAGCTTCATTTGGAATATATTATTAAGGATGGTGGGGAGGTTGTACCTTGTGTCATGATTCCAATTGTTTTGGTTGGCAGCTTGATGTCAATTGGAGAGTGAGATATTTCTATTTGTCCAAGGCCTCCAATCTCGTACATACCATCAGTTAGAATTATTGCATGTTTTGTAAGAGTTGATGCATCAAATCCATGGATTCCTCACTTTCTACATGTCTTCGACCATCCTTCTTTGGTATACTCGAAGCTTCTCATTGTCTACTTTTAGGGTTTTGAAATGTCCATCTGATATCTTTGGCACCATTATGCCTATCGTCACAAGATTGCAGCTCTGATTTCAATGATATGACCCTCTATGGTAGAATCAAATATTGACCAAACAGTAGAAAAAAACACATTGTATTGAACTCACAAACTCTCGCCAATGACGAGAGACAAAACAACGAGGACAATTTTCTCAAATACAAAGACAAAAATGGAGAAGAAGAGAAAAGTAACGAATAAATATTCGAGAGGGTTCCCCACCTCTCCAAAATACCACTTTGTCACCCTAAATGCCATCTTCTCGTGACATATTTATAATCTCTTTCACATGCTCCTTTCTTACATCTTCTATAGGTCAGTAGTGGGATCCTATCATGTTCAAAGGGTGAGTGCAGTTTCTACAGATGAGATGGAATCTACCTATGATGCCATCAACACGTAAGAGAGGTTTTGGCATTGATGAAACGTCAGTTACTAACATCATAAGATGCAAGTGCACACACATGCTCATAAGCCCTAGCATGGCATAGCATGCTACTGCATTCAAGAGCATGTGTGAGTGCAAAAGAACACATTGTAGTAGATGTGGGACACAAGTGACTCAAATATGAAAATAGGTGGCATTCGTTGGCAGCATCTACAAACCATATTGAGGTTCATCAATGACTGGTGATGAACCTCAATCGTTAAATGCATGACATGTGCACATGTTGTGTGCACAAAGCTATGAAACCTATGCACGAACACCATTGTTAGTACAATGTTAGGTTTAAAAGAGCCTCTTAGAAACCTTGATGTTCAACAGCATGACATGCACTACATCATGGCAAAGTGTGGAGATATATGAGGGATGGATGCATGGAGACATTGCAAGACATAGTGCAGTTTGATGTAAGGAATGAAGAGTGATGAACCGTTTGAGAATCAAGGTGAAGAGGATGATGGCAGCATCAAATCAGAGCTACAATGATGCAAGATGATGGTGAGGTAAATCTCAAACCTATTAAAGCGGTTGAGAGATGAATCAACAACCCATTCCATTGGGCAGTAGTGGGATGAATTTGTAGCCTGTCGAGATAGTGACAAGACAAGACCACATCTTGTTTGGGTGGTGGCAAGAGAAGCCTGACGAGCCCATAGCCCATTAGCGTAGTGGCAAGACAAGCCCGTGGCCCATTAGGGCAGCGGCAAGACGAGCATGTGACCTGTTAGGGCAGCACATCGTGGAAGAATGTAAAGTGGAAAAATGACCTAATTCATCAAAAGTTTGCCTGATAGGGTTAGGGCTATATTAGTGTTACAAAAAAGACATTTAAAGGTATGAAATTCTAAATATGCCCTTCTAAATATATTAGGGCTATAGTAGTGTTACAAATAAGTTAATGGACTAGTGGGAAAGCTCTATGTTAGGAATGTGGATATAATGAAAGCCTATGGGAGTATCAATAGGCTTGATTAGGGAGGAAGATAGGTTACTCTTAGTTAAGGAGAGTCTACTTATGTTATGAGGAGCCATAGCTGTCCCACCCCACCCCCACTACCACCACATAGTGAAGGTGCTCCTATCCACTTCCCTGTCATGGGACCTCCAATGAGTAGCAACAATGTTGTCTTCCTCCAGTGCATCTTTTGGCTTCAATAGAGAGAGAGGGAGAGAGAGAGAATGGGAGGAGAGGATTAGGAGGCCATAATGGATTTAAGTAGGCCAAGAAGGGCCGCCGCGTGTACAACAGACCTCACCTCCCACCTCTCCTATCTCTCTCCTCTCCCAAAAGCTGCGCTATCCATCCATCCAATCCCAATCCAATGGTGGGGAGCCCGTCAGGCATTTACAAGATGGGGAAACCCGAACCAGCGCAAAGGAGAGCGAGAAAAAGATAGAGCGATAAGAAAGGAGATAGAGAGAGAGAGAAAAGAGAGAAGGAAAATTTATGGGGGGGAAGGAGGGATGTACAGGAGAGAGAAAGGGGGGGGTGTTAAGCGTTGAGCTTAGAGAGGAAGTGGGAGAGATTGTACTCTTCTTCGTACTGAGACTGGTCCCAGAGCTCCTCCAGCCCGCTGAGCACGGCCTTTAGGCCCTTTCTCCCGGGCCTCAGGCCCACTTCCTCCATCTCCGGGCCCACACCCGCCGCCGCTCCAAACTGCCCACCACCCACAAAGTCAACCCACGTCGACTTGCCAAAGAGTCAACCAAACCCACGGCCACAAAGGAAGAAAGAAGGGAAAAGGAGGGTTTTTTACCTTTGCCTTGGTGGTGGAGGTGGTGACGGAGAGGGGGGTGAAGAGGTCGAGGAGCTGGTCGGTGTTCATGGTCTTGAGGCTGGCGTTCTCAGCATTGATGACAGCGTTGGCGACGTTGACTTTGAAGCTCTGAAGGCTCATCACCTTCTCCTCGAGGGTTCCACGCATGATCAGCCGGTGGACGTTGACCACCTTCCGCTGACCCAGCCTGTGGGCCCGGTCCATCGCCTGCGCACACATTCAAAAGGAATGAATCCTCATGGTATCCATTTTGTCAACGGGAAGAGCAGGAGAGAATCCCATTAGAAGGACCAGCGTATCAGAGTGAGCAGCAAGTTATTGAGTACGATCAGAGTGAGAGGGGGAGGGGGGGTCGAGAGAGAGAAGTGAGAGAAAGACATGTTTATTCAAATTTAGATTCTTTTAACAGATGGGTGCTCCGTGATAGTGAGTGTAACTGAAAGAGGTGCCGAGATCAGAGTGAGAGAGAGAGAGAGAGAGAGGGAGGGAGGGAGGGAGGGAGGAGGATCTTCGAACCTGATGATCTTTCATGGGATTCCAGTCGTGCTCCATGAAGACCAGCGTATCAGCGGAGGTCAAGTTCAAACCAAGCCCACCAACTGAAGAGAACATATAAAATCAGCGAAGAACACAGAACAATCCCATCAGAAAAAAAGCAAAAAAATACAAAGAGAAGAAGAGAAATTAAATAGCCCAATCCTTGCCGTGAGTGGTGAGCAGCAAGACATCGATGGTGGGATCCGAGTTGAATGCCTTCACAATATCAAAGCGCTTCTCCGGTTCCACAGACCCATCGAGCCGCAGGTAGGTGACGCTGCTCCATCAGCGCCCAAGTTAGAAAAAATAAAATAAAATAATATATATATATATATATATATATATGAGAAGGCAGAGATTTTCTGAATTGTGGTCATATTTGGATGGCCATTTTAAGATAAAATTTTAGGATCCATCAGTCTTCCTGAACGACAAGCCACATTCTATGCAACATCATCATTAGATTGATCCCAAATGTGAATGAACCCACTTGCAAAACTTTACATGGGCCTTTAGGTAATTAATTTCCTATTTTGTATGCTAAATACATTATCAAGAAATAATTCTTCTTGCCCTTTACATGAATAAGAATGACAAACTGAGAAGAGATAGAGAGAGAGAGAGAGAGAGAGAGAGAGAGAGCCTACACCCTAACCAACGAACATTGCTGACCTCTCTTTAGATGACTCACACCATTCAAAGAGTTTTCAAACCAAAAAAAAAAAAAAAAGAAAAAACTTCGTTATCATTTACTAGATATAGAGACTAACTTTTTTCTTAACTCAACCAAATCTCCCCATCTTTCATAGAAAGAATTTTCAACCAGCACCAGGCAAATCCTTCAGGTGGATAAAGGCTTAAAAAAGGGAGCGAGTTGACTCAAGAGGGGTGGCTTCTAAACCTATTCAGAACAGCCAAAGCTGCGTCAAGATGTAGGCAGGGCTCTGGCTTCTTCACGTCTCCACCGAATACCAAGTTGACTAATAATGAATGATAGACCAAAAGGTTGACTCAATATGCGGCAGATAAAGTTTATGACATAAACTTGTGTTCCATCCAGTGGTTGCTTACATTTATGCAAACACCATACGACCGAGTTACTATAAATAGAAAGATTCGTGTAGGCTACTCGAACAAGATAGGTTATGTTGTGTGGGTCTATTCGTTACATCTGATGCGCTAATTATAAGCATGAGAAGAATTACTAACCCACCAGATGAATGAAAAATTCACATCAAGACAAGGTTTCCCATTACTTTTAGACAAGAAAAGTCAATGACGGCACAAAAAGTATGTCATGATGCAGAGGGAATGAAGAGGATTAGACTTACTTTTTCATGTGAGCCTGAAACAAGTCCTTCTCAATAATATCCAGAAGAGACTGCCACAAGCACAAAAAAAACAAAAAATAAAAAATAAAAATCTGTTAGAACTGTCACAGATTGTACCGAATGTTATTAGGCAGAGATAGGGATGTTTGTTTACCCTGTGTTGAGCAAAGATTAAGACTCGATGCTCTCCGGTGGCACTGCCGCCTTCAATTCCTGTCACATCCTGTCCTATTCCGCATTCTTCTAGTATTTCCTTAAGAGCAACCAGCTTGGGAGAGTGTTCTAGCTCGTGAAGGGCGGATATAATATCAGAACAACTTGGCATAACCTCTGATAAGAGACGCATGAGAGGCTCCGGAGGCTTCTGTCCAAGGACAAGCAATGGATGGCTGCATAACTTCAGCAGGTACTGGAGGGCCTGAAAATGATAAAAGAGATGGTGAGCAAAGTAAACAAATGCTGCAGTAAGCTGATCGCCTATCGGATATATTATATGGTACCTGGAAGATGTGAGAAGTCGCTTTTGGTGTTGGAATGGTTTCTTCCGTCTTGGATCCATCGCTGGCTTCAACGATTGTTGATATTTCTTTCTTCGCATCAGAATGGGAGAACTGCTCATATAACTTAAGCTGGGCAGGACTAAGATCACAGTATCTGTCCTGAATAATCTTTTCAGGAAGGTCCAACAGGACCTCATCTTTTGTCCGACGAAGAAGAAAAGGCATAACCTGTATACAGAGATTAATAAAAGTTAAGATCACCTGGGCAGAAAACTTTCCCAGAATAGCGATTGAATACAGCAGAAGTAGACCTGTTTGTGCAACGCTTCCATAGCAAGAGCACCGGCTTCTGCATCTTTTGCCGAGCATTTTGGATCTCTGGCAGCCAAAAGTGGCTTCCCGTATGTAGCTTGGAACTGTGTAAGCAACATCTTGACTTTAGAAGAAATAGACAAATAAAATGAATTAAAGAAAAAAAACTGATACATGCATCGAAACATTCATTTTAAAGAATTAGAACAGTTCAGAAGATCAAACAACAGAAAAAATATCTAAATGGACAAAGAGGGGCCAGACACATGCAGGAAAGGTGAAGCTTCTCATTAAAAAAAATTATACTGACTTTGCAAAAAATTGGAAAGAAAATGTTGACATTTTTAAACAGAGGAAGTTCGAGAAAAAATGGTGACATAGAGGATAAATCCTCTTTTGGCATTTAAAAAAATCGATATTCACCCAAGATAGAAAGAAAACTGCAACAGCATTAAAGAACTGACTCCATTATCGCATTTTGAAAAAAAAAAAGAATAAGAAACAGCAAGTCATGTTTGAGTAGTGATAATGGTTCTATGGAGTTGCCCAGTCAATGAGTAGTGAAAATATGATGCAAAACCATTACCATAATGTTAGTCAAGATCTGAAATCAGCTGCTACACTACTTTTTCTATAAAAAGTGAGGACATGTGAGGATCAAGCTGCAAACATTAAGTCCAAGAGATCGTGGCATCTATCTCGAAATGTACCCTCCCGTTCAGAGCATGTACCATCTAAAACCCATAAATCTAAAGGGTTTCGTGATCTAAAGTGAATCGGCAGGTAATAGTTTTTTTTCTCTATTTTGATAATCTTTTTGATGTTTACAAAGCACTGTCTAAAACGACAATTCCGGGTTCTCGCATCCCTGTTTTCCGTAATGTGATTGCTGAGATTCGTCCCAAAGCACTTCAAGTTTAAAAGAGAAGGTTCGAAAACAAATTTATTTTAAATCAGATACACAGATAAAGATAACAAACAACCACATTATTAGGAAGCTTTGTCATTTGCATTCCTTTAAAAATAAATAATAGAAACGGTAAGGATTAAAGATCCTTATAATATCCAACTAAATGCATAATCATGGTTCTTAACAAGAGAACAATTACCTGTCTCTCAGTACCTAGAAACCCTGGCATTAGAAAATCAAAGAGTGACCACAGTTCCAAAACGTTGTTCTGCAAGTCACACAGGAAAACAAAGTTATCAACAGAAAGATCAAAAGTAGTAAAAACAATAAAGATTTCAAAATTATAAAGGTATCAAAGGTCAGAAGCCATACTTGGATGGGTGTACCACTCAATACAAGGCGGTTTTCAGCTTTTAAACGTTTCACGGCATTTGTTATCTTAGACTTTGCATTCTTGATGACATGCCCTTCATCTAAGATGCAATAATTCCATTGGAGCTTTTCAAGATAATCAATATCTTTTCGGATAACATCATAAGATGCTATAATAAGATTATATGTATTGAAAGAATCTCTAAGTGATGTCCTTTCTTGAACGGAACCAACATATTGTAATACTTTAAACACATCATCATCCACATACTTCTCTATTTCATAAGCCCAATGTCCAACCAAAGTTGAAGGACATATAATTAGAGATCGGTGTTCCGTTCCACCATTACACACCTGTCCCTCAACAATATCAGCCGCTACAATTGCAGATGCCTGAAGAGTCTTGCCCAATCCCATGTCATCACATAAGATTCCATGGAGCTTGAACCTCCTCAGGAAAGATAGCCAGTTGACACCCTCTTGCTGATACCTAATATATCACAGAATTCAAATCAATGTATCAAGAGAGAAGAGATACAGTATGATTATTAATTGTTCCGTGGATAAAACCATGGCAACATGCAATGTCAACAAAAGGAGACCTATTATGCAACGATCAACACATCTCTCATACATGACAATGCCAAGGGGACAAGTAAAAAAAAAGTAAATAGAATCACAAAGGCATCACAGAAGTTTTTGCACATTTAGAAGAGCTTTTACCTCCTTAATGAAACTTTCAAGTTAATCGGCAGTTTGTAATCATCAATTTGGGAGTTGTCAAGAAGCTGTTCCAGAAATTTTGCATCTTCTGTATTTCTTGATAAATCTTCACTTAGACCTGTTGGCACGGGGAGTCCCCTGGCCAGTGGCAAAAGAGGTACAAGGGCAGCAAAGCTATGGGTCACAGTGCTCCTTACAACATGATCAGAATCGCTCATGCATTTGAGAAGAGGAACGATTAGTAAAGGAGCATATGCTACCAGCTCCAACCCCATCCCTTGGACGAGCAAGCTCATGAGCATGCCAGCTCCTTGCCTTGCATACAAAGACGATGAATGTTCTAAAATAGGAATGACTTTCCCTATCACAGCTCCCATTACAGCAGTAGTCATCGTCTTGGCCATGGAAGTAATACATCTCGAAGCAGCTAATCTAACAGCCACATGAGGGTGGCAAATACAGACAATAATGGTGGGAAGAAGGCTGAGCAATTTCGGTCTCAGTGACTCGTTCACCAAATGAGCAATAGAGCGCACCACCTGTCAAAGTATAAATGAAGTCCACAAGATCACTTTGCAATGAAGAAATCAAGGCACCTATCCGCTATGATTATATGATACATAACACGAACATTTTCCAATAAAAATTCTTATAATATTTCGCAGGAAAAACCCAGTCATCTAGTATGAGACAATATAACTAGACTCTAATGTTAAAAAAAGAAACCCAAAAAAACAAGTATTACCATTGGAGAATGAATAAAACCAAATCATTCGAATGAAAAATGGAGTATAAGATAACGTAATCCAACATTAAAACAAACGAAAGGCCAACTATTTGCCCACCGAACATGAGAGAAATTTTCCATATTTTTTAACCCTATGTATGGATACTGGAGAAACATTTGCGGACCTAGCATAAGAATATGCAATTGAAGGGATGGTTTCTTAATTTTAGATCGTCAACATATCCGACCATAATTTTTATTCATAAAAAAGAGACTATATCCAGTTGAAGAAAATCAGAAGTGAGATGCCTCTAAAACTGACCGAAATATATGACATGCTTGTTATTACAACCGTGCAAATATCGCATGTATACAGGCCCGTTGTCCACCCAAGCTGTGCGTTAAAGATTGCAACTTGCAGCGTTCTTCATACGTAGTATACTTCACATCCTACAAGCTATGATCATCCCACTCTAAACAGCTATGATCCTGTACACCCAATGCAGGTTATGTGCAGGATTCAATTGTCAGAACCTTTTCTATAAACCACACCTCCCTGTGAGGAATGGCAATACCCGGACAACATGCAGTTCGAATTATGTGCGGATCCAGTAGATTTCGCACCCAGATCCCAAATTGTCACCAGATGGTCATCTTGATGGTTAGTTCCCAAAAACGAATAATTAGCATATATGAAACCTACGATGTCGATAACTGATTTCATTTGATAGTTTAGAAGGGATTAGGATCTGTGCTGGCTAGCCGTCACAACAGCAGGAGCAGGCATGTTGGTTTTCTTATCCTTCACCTCTGCGATTTGCAGCAGAAACTGCCGGAGCATTGTCAATAGAATCAAGTGTATCACTAGTCACAACCTCGTGAAGATGACAAAAAGTGAGCTCAACTGGAGCTGGAACTGGTGTAAGATGAAAGAAAACAGCGCCACAATGGGGACAAAAAAAGTTGCTGGGGAAGAATCAACCAAATAGGAATATTGAGACTAGTAAGAATTTGAAATGGAATGAGAAACGTAAACAGAAAATTAATGATGGCTAGATGTGGAGTCTGTCTCACAGTAAGGTTATGATAAAAAAAAGAAGGTGAATATGGGTGACAGTGTCTGAATATGATGAACAGTAAGTCATCTACCAATTTCAACAGTTGCAGGCCCATTAGTCTTTGCTGTGAATTTAACAAGCATAAAAAGATAAAAAAAACAAGTATATTCATTTGTGTATCGCAAACCCAGCTTCAAAAGTGGAATATTGGGGATCTAAAACTTGATGAGCTGTGACAGTTATCGAAGCCCGTTCAATTGTTACAAATTTAATACAGGGCAAGAAGACACAAGCTACATGTAACAGGGATGCAAGAAAATCAAAATGAAAGACGGACCAAGAAAAAACTATAGGAAAATGCTTAACGTTGCTTGCCATGCAAGTCCACATTCACCACAGACTGAAGAACCAAATGATACTGCTGTAAATAGGAGAGTGAACCACACCTGAATATTGTTTATTAGGAGCTGTGGTTCTTTGTCCTTGACTTCATCAATCATTTCCATCATTTGCCGGTCATTTGCAGAGAAATAATCAGGCAGTGGTTTGAGAAATTCGGTGAGGCAATCCCAAAGCTTTGGAAGTCCATCAAACAAAGATGACCCAAATTTTTCACATAAATATTTTAAGGCAAGTTCTGAACCACGTCTGCAGATGAATCCTTCAATCTTTGACCTATCCTCACCACCAGATGGGATTTGTCCTTTTGCTTTCCGGTTGAATGAAGATCTTCCCAGATTTAATAGATCCTGGCTCTCAATAACTTCCATGGAACTTATAAGTGCTGCTTGGGGTGTCTCAGAAAAGTCCATGCACGTTTGATTGCAGATGTTTTTGATCAATTTGTCATTTGGACCAGGTTTGCGTCCAACACAGGAAAAAATGAGCTCGGCAAGTGCCTCAGCAGCCTTCTGTTGCAGTACTTCCTCCTGTAAGACAAAGACGCCGCTTTAAATCCCTAGTACAATTAAAAGTACAACATTTATTCAGCCGCAGAATCACTAACTTGCTCTCTCTTAATTGCAGCCATCAAAGGCAAAATGATTGGGTTCAGCTTGGCAGGTAGTCCAGACATCCAGACTACTGCAGCAGCAATTAAGGCCGACACACTAACATGTAAGTTGCTCTGCACAAGAAAAGAAACAGATGCGAAATCATTTTGTTCCATTAGCACTGTTCCAGAAAACGATTAAGGAATTGATATCAGTCAGAACTTTATCAGTTGTACCCAGCTATTCAAAATATAAAAGAATCTGCTATTATAAGTAATATAAGCATTTAATGATGAGTAGTCACGATACCTGGACGCAGTTTAAATAACATGACGTAGAGAGAAGCCGCTGTTTAGACAATTCTAAATCATCCAAGTGCCTTTCCTCAGTTCCATTCCCATTTGAATGCTCAAGAGGCAAAGAAAGTTTTGAGACAAAATTTATTGCATCATCAATAGTGAGCATATCTAAATTTATTGTAGTGCTTAACATCAGATCTTTGAAAGTACCAGATGACTCTGTCAAATGAAACAATTTCCTTGCTTCATTTCTCATTTTTGTGTATGTTCTTGAAAGTTCAGCATAAGGAAGAGCGGAATTTTTTGTAGGAAATGAAGGGTCGGGACATGCCAGCAGGTCCAGAAGCCAGTGCCTAAGCGGATCCAGAAAATCAATAGAGATTTCATGAACCCGGGAATGGTTTTTGCCTTTGAGCTCCTTGAACCAAGCAATTAGGGCTAGACAAGCAACCTGCAGGGATGTGATATTTAAATTCAACTGAAGAAAATTTGAGTAATTCGGTGAAAAACTACGTTATGACATACCTGCCTTCGTACCCCAGATAAAGAGGTAACATCATTCCACAAGGGATCAACGACAACTTGTAAAGAAGTATCGGGCAATTTAGCAGCAAGAGCACCCAATGCAGTTGCTGTTGTTACCCGAGTATATGTGACAGCCTTCTCATTATCTCCACCAAAAATGACTTTCATGGTGGTGGTCTGGTGTTCATCCACATTTTCCCGAATGATATTTCCTTTTGAAGAATCAAAACTAAGATTTGTATGATTTTCATTCTCGTAAGTCGTAGCCCTCATCTTGGCTGCCGCCCTAAAATGACTTTTCCGAGGAAGGGCAACTGGCCAGAACATCTTTCCATCATCCAAGGTTAAACCAAGCGGGGTAGTAGCAAGTTGTAACCAAGCAGAAAAGTACAGTTTTGAGGCGGCTTCCAGATTTTCTTCTGGGCACTAAAGAGAAAAATGCTGAGTCATTTAAACACATCCAGGGCAAACAAATAATGCAAAATCATTTTATACACAATCATGTTAAATTAAAGTGATAAATAACCTGAAGGAGAAGGCTCCAAACTCTCTCAGAACAGTGAAGAATTTCTTCATTTGATTCAAGAAGCAAGTTCTGAAAAACAATTCTCAGAGTGTCACCTAAAATTTCAGAAGGCCATATACTCGTTGTCCGCTCAGAAAATGTTCTCCTCAAGCCAACCTCCAGAAGCCGCTCCTAAAAAAGTACACCAAGTGTGCATAAATTATCTCTCTACGTCGCTGATTATGTTTAAAAAAAGGTGAATAACTGTTTGAATAGATTAGCTAAGAAAAAATACGGAAATGGAAACTAATGGATTTAAAAAGAAAAGCTGATGGACAAACTTAAACCAGTGGCTAAGCAACAAAATTAAATCTCACCAAAGTACGTATAGCAGAGTGCCGAACTGATTTTATTATATGTCTCATAAATGGCCATAACCGTGGTGCAAGCGTTGATAAGACATAAGGATTATCTTCGTGCTTCATCACATCTGACTGTTCGTCAACTAGAGATATTTCATTAAGATCAAATTCTTTTTTTCCAGGTGATCCTGTGACACCTAGCATCATGTCCGACTGCGAATATAACTCTGCCAACAAATTCATCACACTGAAACGCAGAAAACGATTTTAAGGAGGTCAAAATTTCACGTGAATCTTTCTCATCCATTTGAAAGGGAAAATGTATTCAAACAAAATAATTCAGACAGTAAACTTGATAGCATTTATAATTTACTACCATAAATAGTGCTTCCAATACTCTACAATTTTGAAAAGGTATCCACAAAAAAATAGTAGAGGATCAACGTCAAGAAAAAGCATATGTTTGTAGCATGCTCGCTAAACAAAGTTGTGCAAAAAATAAAATCAAAGTCAGTTATGGTACTCTGACAAAATTAAGCAGAGCACTTTGCAAGTCACACAAGCAGCACAAAGAAAGATAAATATCCTGCACCACAGAGCCGGACCTTTACGAAGATAAATATCATACAGTTTTGCCTACACGGGAACTAGCAGATTAGAGAAGAATTAACCTCAGAAGGGCTAGGACAGTAGTGTGAAGACTAGTTTTGTGTAAGTGTACCAAAATTAAGTGTCCAGGAAGTTATCAGCGTGTTTACGACAGAGTGTGTCCAGAAGGACTTGCAAACTTACCAGTGGATTTTTTAATTTTAGTTTACGACTGGATACGCTCATAACTTCACACGAAGCTCACACATAAAGTAACTTTTAGACCACCTAAACTCTGTTTCCAGATAAAGCATTTTAAATGCAAAGAATTACAAAACCCAATAGAGCAATTAGTTCAGTGAAGACACGAATCATTAGTGAAATTGGTTTGCTAGATTGTTTCATTGGATTTTAACTAAAATATCACCATTTATTATGTAGATAAGTTTTCAACGAGGATAGTATATCTCAAATTACTAAGCCGTCCTGAGTTTCAAAAACAAATATCTTTACCATCCGTAAAAATTGTCCAACCAAGAAAACGTTCATGATAACTATTTCTTGGCCAAGAAATAACAATAGAAAATAATACCTTCCAATGGAGTAACAAAAAGCCGAGAATGTTCTGCATCAACTAAATATGTAGTTCGTCATTCAATGACATTACAATACCTGCTTGTGGATGGGTTTAAGTCATCTAGGTAGAGCAGAATATCCCAAAGCAGGATAACTACCGCATGAAGTGCCTCCCCTTTAAGAGACACTAAAGCTGCAGCTGCAGGTATTAGGGCCTCAGCAGCAACTGCTCTCACATCATCATCTGGGTCCTCAAGTCCAATTTTACAGGCAGGCAAAAGATAACCTAGTAAATCTTGAAGCATATCCTGGAAAGATAATCAAGTTTAATGGAGAAGATGAAACAACAGTTCTCTAACTCCACAATCAGTTATATAACAAGAAAAGTAAAAGTTCTTCATTAAAGTAAAGAATTATGGTTTGTGTCAAAGACAGGACTAAGAATAAAGAGAACAGAGAGTATCAATAAAGAAAACCATTATAAATTCATGCTCACTTTCTTCTTAATGTTGGATATGAACCTCTGATTCTCTACAATTCGGATTTAGTATTTAATGAAGAATATACAATTTCATGTTATTTAAAAGAGAGAAGTTTCAGTAGTTAGCCCATTATGCTTCTCTAATTAGAATATTCTGCCAAAAAAAAAAGTAATCAAAAGATAAACTGGGGGCAAAACAGCTAAAAAAACCTTTTTGTAAAGACTATTACCACAACAAGTTGATAACCAGAAATGTCAATGCACATAGATCATCATCAAAAAAATTTAGACATATGATCATATTAATACATGTGTTAATATGTTTTTCTAGTTGCCCTTTCTCAATTCTCAACCTGGCTATGAGCGTGAATTTCCTCCACTGCCTCTGGGCCAACCTCAGCTGAGCTGGGCCACTTATCTAATTTCTGGGGATTGAAAGATTGTTGGCTGAATCTGCTTTACCATGAGGTGACTAGGTTATTACCATCCTCTAGCTATGTGATAGCCACCTCGGTCTACACTTAATGGAAGCGTAGGTAATGAAAAGTGAGGGGAGCAAGAAATTCTGGACTCCCATGTTTCCTAATGTCAAGCAAGACAAGATTTTTTCCTAATTCGATAAGCTACAATGAAACAAAAGCCAGAAGACCCAAAAATGAATCTACAACAATTTTAAAAAAAATTAGTCCCTCCTCATCCAACCCCATTACTAATACTATTTTAGCGAGTATTTTCTACCCGGTTGTGTTTCTCGAGGGAACTTCTAATAAGAAAGAATATGGTAAGTTTTTCCAAGTTCCACTGGCTCCTAATGATAATAAATAAACAACCTTCTATTTCCAGTGAACATCGACTATGTTTGTCAATTTTGGCTGAACTATTTCCATCCAATTTTTTCCATTTTTTTCCATAAATTCTCAAATCCGGTAGAATGAATTATACGAATCATTTAAAGGGTCCTTTAAAATGGTTATAAGTTATTTCTAACCATACTGTCGCACATTCAATCAAAACATGAGCAGAAACGACCTACATGTGAACCGTTTTCCATGATAAACAAAAGGACCCAATGTATCGATTTAAAAGTGTATTTTATCAAGAAAAATTAGCATAAAATGCCTCCAAGCGACAGATCCACTTATGTAGATTCTTCAACAGGCAGATCTGGTATACATACAAGAAGCAGATATTTGGGTTAAGATACCAAAGGCTTCGGACATGAGAATTGATCCAAATCCCCCTTCTAGTGATCTAATCCCCCAAAATGATCCAGACTTGGTAATTTGAGAGGAAAATCTGATTCTGTTGGACCAAAACAGAATGAGTAATGAAATCATACTTATGACTGAAAAGAAGAAACCAAGGCAGCATGATTCATAACAAAAATAATATTCCAAAGACAAGAATTTTCATTTTTTTCATACAAATTGATCGTTGTTCACAGTGTCTGCCTCTGTAAAGTACAATCTTCCCAAAGACATGTTTATAATCTCAATCAAGTTTCAATGAGTCATCCACTCTTTTTCCTTATGTCAGGATAAATCCGATTTTGAAAATGTATAGACAATTTAGTGAGAAATGGCAGAATTAAACGATCATACTTCAACAGTGAGCATCCATAGAATCTCCAATGAGATCATTGCCATTTGATTATGTTGTGGTTCAATGAAACAATACCCAAGCACATTTTTTCTTTCCGATCACATCCCATTAATGGCTATGAACAATAAGAATCTTAGGTGAATGACTAACGATCAAAGCATCCAATAAGAAGCTCATCCCCTTTTTCCCAATAAAGCAGGCATTGATTCTCCATCCAGAGGAATCTAATTGCTTGGACCTACTTTATTTCAGTTGTAGTTATCCACGACTCCAAAAAAAATGCATTGAGGTTAAAAACGTCCTCGTTGAAAAGGATATCAAATTGGTCAAAGCTAGGGCGGGAAGGACACAAAATTTGAAATAGCCCAATGCCCTAAAACTTACACGTGAAGGATGTGCGTCAGTTTATTAAGCTAACCATGTTCGTTTCTCGAACGTGCAACTGTATTTTACCAACTGTAGGCACACGACACAGGACAGAGATGGTCAGCAGATATTGGCATTCTGAGAGACATTTTGCACAATTTCGGGAATATCAGACGGCCCTCCAATACTTAACCTATATAATTATCATTCTGTTAGACATTATCTAATCGCATAAATTCGCTGAGTCACTTAGAAAAACCACAGCAGAAGGTTCCAACTATGGAATCGATCGAATGAAAAAGGAAGAATCACACAATACGTAGTTATCACTTATTGCAAGTATTTAAATAGGAACATTAAGATTATAATATGGTTTAGTGAGAAAGAACAGCAAGCAAGGTGATTCCATTATGAAACCACGACAACTACTGATTTAAGATAAGATAAGCCACAAAGAAAAACGGTGGAACCTAGATTAATAGCACAATTTTCGTGAAAGTATGTTACCTGTCGCACAGCAACTAAATATTTTACACCAAGAAGGCTGCCATGACGGATCTCCCATTCTTGCCTGCACTGAAAAATAAAATGGACATAATAATAGAGACAATAAGTTATAACACACCTACAGGAAGAACATAATATGCTACTGAAGATGAACAAACATTTTGAAAATAACCTGCATCTGCAGCAGAACTTGAAGTGTTTCATAAACTAAAGAAGGGTGCATGTACTTCAGTATTGCTCCAAGACCTTGTGCACATGTCTCCCTTACAGGAGCGACAACCTGATCTGACACATAATCACCAAAACTACAAAACACAACATGATGCAAATCACTGGGTGAAGGGATAATAAAGAACTAAAAAGAAATCTTAAGCAAAGAGAGAATTGAACATTGTCATAATTACACAGCGAAAACCACCATGAAGTATTCACTTGCACGTCAAAATGGATGCATATAGATGACATAACTATACAAACGGAGGCAGAATATTCATTCTCTCAGTTGCCTGGAAGAAACACATTTTCCTCACTACTGTGTTTTGTTGTATATTGTTCATTCTGAAATCGAAAATGCAAGCAGAAAGATGGCTAGACGGCCTAAAATCACATGATAGGCATAATAATAAAGTTAAAAGTGCAATAGAACCAACAGCAAACATACCGGTCCAATGCAAGCACACAGATAAAACGAATAGCACAATCCTGAAGAAATTCCCAGTTTTTGATCCACGAATGTCTTGTAAGTTTAATAAGCTTAATGAGCTTGCAACCTTGAGGGAGATTGTCCAGAAACTCAACCTTTGGAACCAACTTATTGTCTTCCGCCAGAATTTTCTCTGTTCCAGCAGTAACGATTTCTTCAGGTGGCACAGGGAAGCCACTCATACAGGAATCTGGTTCAGTTTTAATATCAGCAACAACAAGATCACTGCTCTCTGACTTCTCTGCCTGGTGCAGCAAAACTTCTTCCAGTTTCACCGTATCACTGTCCAACTCTTTCTTCAAAATAGTTGCTTGGAATGGTTCATTTCCCAATTTCTGTCTCTTTGACTCTGGCTCAGATTCATCCACACTTGGCAGGACATTTAAATCAGTCTCTTTCTCCCTCTTTATAGATTTAATATCGATGTCCGGTATCCATGACATATCTGAGTCTAAATCAGGCATATATACTCCAACACAGGCACCTTGATGGGTTAGGATTTCCCTCAACGCCATAATTGTCCCATGGCGCACTTCCCATACTGAAAAATGCGTCATTTAGATGGTCAAAGCACGGAAATCATTGAAATTACGGAACACAATACAAAACTTACTGGGATCGAACATATCATGAATAAGCTGCTCAACAAAATGACGAAAAGGCCATCCTCCAGTCCCATCAAGCTCTGGACGGGTTTCATCAACAGATACATCTATGAAGCCCTGTTTGTGAACAATATCAGTAAATCTCTTTGCTGATATGAGAGAAACACTAACAGAATAACAAGAAACATAAAATAAAGTGATTGACTCAGTAAATGTTCATCAAGCAATGGACATAAATGAACAAAGAGAAACTTCAAAACCAGGATAGGTGTCCAACAAAAACTGTGAGCTATTTCCTAGTTTTATTTTTTGCGTTCAAAAGGCATTTCTGTCTGTTTTGTTCAATTTATTTCTTCACACACCTATCTGCTTTTCTTTTCACTTCACTTCTTCTTTCTGTATTGCATTCCAACTATTGAAAGACATGTAGGGAGAAAGTTCACGAAGGTGAGTGCACAACGAAAGAATGAAGACGGAAAGAAAAAACAGAGAACCACCAACAGCTGCTTCATCCCTGTTGTGGCAGTCTGCCATGGTCACCCACTCTTAGCCACCTGGTTGTGGTGAGGGCTTCTTTTTATTCCCTACACAACCTCACTGACATTCAAGAATGAAATGACAACTGGTCCTGGAGGAGGAGACAAGAATAACAAAGCAATAAGGCCTTTTCAAAAAGACCTGACCATGAAACATGTCCAAGAACATTTTCTTTGTCAAAAAAATCCTCTTTCACTTCTATTTCGTGGTGATTTAGGACCCTTGAATCAGTAAATCTGGCAGATTCAAACCGAACAAAATTGGGATCAGATCCTATTGATATAATATGCAATAATGGCTCATAAATCTTGAATAGAGCAGGGAGGTCGGTTAGAAGATGATAGAAAACAGGAAACAATCTTCTATTGATGTTATCATTCGCAAAAGTCCGCTCCAAATGGATGATCAGAAAATGGTGGCCTGATTTCCAGCTTTTCGTGGCAGTAGCACTTATTTCTCTTTGTGCATCTTCACCAAGAAGAAACTCAGTGGCAACACGAAGAGGCTTTGGTGTCAAATACAGCAATTGAAATGCTCGTAGCACCTTCTCTTCTTCCCCTCTTCTCTTCAAGAAGACGTTTCTCATCCTGTGTTACCCTCTCAGCAACCCTTGGAATTGACAACCACATATGGAAAGGAGCACTGCTTTCCAATTCATCCTTTTCTGGACATGGCAAGTCGTTTAAGACTGATACAGCACAACTCGCATTTCAGCGAGGCCAATTCGACAACAAATCAACCATAATCATTAGTAATCTGACCACACAGAAATGAGATATGATGTCCCATGCAGATCAGAGCCTGGGAGGTCCAAAACCTTACAGAACAGGTCAGCAACTATGATATCCACCGAAAAAAGAAGAAATAAAAATAATTACTTCCACCTTCCCTCTATGTACTTATATTCATCAAGGACACCAACCAACAGAACTGCTGAACGAGATATAGTGAAGAGATGATAAAACATGGAGGTGAATTTGGTGAAAAGCATTGTAATTTTATGTTGTTTCATCTTTTTCAAAAAAAAATACATAAATGTGTTTAAAATAGATTTTACTTCTCGTTTCTTATATTTTCAGAAACAGTGGTTGCTTTTTCTTGGAACCAATTGACTTTACGAAATCTAAACAAAACAGAGAGGAGCCTAGCAGATCCAAAATTTGATGGCAATATGTGCTCCCTGACTCACCTATAACAAGCGAAAGATACAGATACAAACAAGATGCATAATGCAGGACAACCGTATAGTGAATCACATCTTTTCCAACTGATCACCACCACTGATCACTCATATTTTTAAGTCATGTTCAGAAAACTTTTTTTTCCTAATATCAACCATTTCTTCATCATAATTTGATAATATGGCACTATTTGGTCCAACTATTATTACAGAAATGCTAGGTACTGTGGTGTTATCGCGTAATCATCCACTCAACACAGGATCCTTCAGGACATCAAGATCTTGTGCAGAAATTTTCGGAAAGATGTCCCAATATTACCAATAAACTTCTAAACTGAAAATATTCCAGGTTTTCAGATTCGTTATACAGTGTTTCAAAGAGAATTATATGGAAATACTTGCACAACCACTTTTCTCGAGAAGATTCAATCCACTGCCTTACTATCCACTTTAAGCAATCCTTCAGGGACAAAAATATTTTCTAGGAAATCGTTGATTCTCAATAACATTCTCTATATCGCTAGTTTCATACCAGCTTTATTAAACTCCATCTTTGTTATAGTTAAAAATATTATCTCCCAAGGCTTGTGCATGATTACGATTCGGAACCTTTCTAACTTTTGCTTTTATGAAAATGCTCATAGAACTAAATAAAAAGTGATTGCAAAAAAGCTATTATCTTTCCAATTGATGGAACAATTTGAATTATTGTTATGAGACATGATTTTTGAAGAAATGAAGTTCCACAGAGCACAAGAGAAATACATATGATAAATCAAGTATATCATGGAATGTTTTAGAAAAATGTGCAGAGATTGATTGCAAATACCTTACTGGCACCTGATGGTGTTGGATAGTCACTCTTGGGGGTCACCGGTTTATAAAGAGGGGACATCTCGGGCTCATCGTCTTCACACCGATCCTTCGGTTGGTCCTTGGCATTTATTTTTGCTTTTCTTTTCAGAAGATTCAGCTCTCTTGCACTTAATTTCCTAGGGCGAAAGCTAGGAACCATATTTGCAACAAGTTGTTGGATACTTTGTCCTGATGAGGATGCACGATATCCATGACTCAATCCATTTCCTTGAGCATGGATTTTCTGCACAAGAAGATCTTCATCTTTTATCATATCACTCACATCCATAAATTGCTCACAGACATCTAAACCTGCATAAGAATAGATTCAGCAGATAGAAAAATGAGATCACACTGATAAAGACAATTACCCTAAATTGGCCAATGAGATATATGATGGATTTTGAGCTCTAACTGGAAATCGTAATATCAATGTTGATTTTATATACCATCAATGATATGAAAGACGAATAAATTCGAATCCAAAACAAACAAAATAACACAGAGCAAGAAATAATTTCGAAATGTCATTAGCTACATGCCAAATTTTTTCATAATCAAACATTCTGAGGGAAATAGGTATTTACCAAAAAAGACATATAAAAGCAATAAAACAATATTTCCAAACAATTTTCAACATTTTGGGTATCCCATCAATCATGTGAAAACCTCCAAGTCCGCTAAAAATTGGAGCAGCTCTCATGAAAAATAAGACCCAGTAAGCTAGAGGAACTTGTGAAAGAAGCCAAAAAATTAAAAGTTTATGGCTCTAGCTGTAGTTACAAAATGAATAAAAAGGTAGTTTCATCTTCTCCTAAGACAAATTTTAAAAACTGTACTTCAAACTCAAGGATGCATTAAAGAAAGGTTGGCAATGAATAAAGATGAGCAATATCTAAAGACCGTATATCAAAAAATTGATGGGGCGGAAGGTGAATTTCTCCGTGCAGAATAAATGGAATCAGGATATACTGGGATCTAGGTTCTCCATGTACAATCAACGATACATGTACCTTCACACATACGATCTGACACTATAATGTAGCTCAACTGACAGCCTTTGTCCATGATTAAACATCTTCATGTTGTTTGATCCCCTACGTCACTGCTTGCCTTCTTCTAAGGTTTTCTGTCCCCATTCTTCTTGTTGTCATGATGCTGTCATATGTCCAGACTCGTATGGCCACTGGGCTAGTGTAGCTATCCCCTCTAGACATCTTTTAATATTATCATCCTTAGTTTTCATCAGAAGACTGTCAGAAATCTAGGCTATCTGTCATAATGTCCACAATCTGAAACATATTATACAATTTGGAGAATTTTGGCAACCACCCAAAACAGAGGCTACTCAAGCTCATTCTAAGTAAATGGACCAGAACACCCAATTCATTTCAGATCCGTTCGCACCCAGTTCAATCCCCATTTCTACTCCTATGAACTCCGTCTAGTACTCTTCCAACTTATTAACAACAATCTATTGAGAGAAATGTGAAATCAGAACCGGGGGAAATCTTCTCAGTCAACCCTCAAACATGAACTGCAGCCAAAATCAAAGGAATATGAGGTCCGAGGTCATCAAAGAAATATATTGAATTCCAATCTCGTTTTTGCTATTATCAACTAGACGTATGACCACTATTATAGATTGGGAAATTCAAATGGAAGCTATACAAATAGTGAAAAAAATTAGGTTAAAAGAAGCCTTACAAATAGTCAAAGTTATAACCAATTTCAAAAGCATAAGATGAAATTTATCAAACAACCTAAACGATGACGAAGGTTCTGCTTCTGTCGAGCCAGTTTCTCTGCTGGTGTCTTGCTATTATCAACCGCTACATCATATTCCTTCAGGGATAATACACCAGTATTAAAGGTAAGAAGCGAGGGGAATGAACCAATACGAAAAGAATATCAGGGAAGCAAAGTGACCCAGAATAATGAGATAATGTTGATTATGATTGCAACAATCACCAGCCCCTGAAGCAGATAACAAGAAAGAGAGGATTTCAACTTTCTCCAAACGTTGTTAAAGGAACATTTTCGTTATTGGCATCAAGAAATATAATTCATCTCAGATGGTGAGCTTAAGTGACAAGGATCTCTCATGCATTTCCAATCCAAGCCTCTCGAATGTGAAACTCCCCAACTACGGCTGGATCTTAGCTGATCTGCCCGTTTCTGAAGACCTGGTAATAAATAAGTTTTTATGATACAAACTATGAAGTTCCAAGAAGGAAACACTCATCTTAGGGGCCGGCCTAAAGAAAGCATTCTTGGTGCCAAAACTGACAAAATATGATGCAAATAGTTTAAAAGACTTTTTCCCATTAGCTTATTGAATGGTGTGTACAACAGCATGACGTGTATACTGACCACCAAGTAAACATGGATGTAAACAGAGTCGATCGGAGGGAAATAAAATGCATTCATTAAAGGGCACCAGATTCAAAAAGGTTTTCTAGTGGCACATGAGGCTACTCACATGATGAAATATCCCAAAAAAAAAGAGGCCCAATTCTCATGCTGAATTTTTAGAAAACATAATGATAGTGTAAATCAGATCATTTCTTCCAAGAGGAATTGTGATGACAGACACATAGGTTGAACCCAAGCATGAATCTCTTATACCAGACTTACAGATCCGATCAATGAGAAAAAAATTGAATTTACTTTCTGCATTGAAGACATCGACAAAGGATTTCTCTATATCTACTTTTTTGTCTTCCTTACTGAGGTGATAAGCAGAAGTTGGGATTTGATACTGCATAGCATGGGTGTTATCACAAAAATTTGGAAGGATGTCCCACAGGCTAGAGTGAGTTAGCAAGCGGATCAGAAATTTTTTACAACAAATGATGAAAAAAATCAACCGTAAAGGTGCTTTTGGGATGAGAAGAAACTTTGCCTCCTTTCAAGGCCATAATCCATAACGTCCTTTTTTGTCTACTGAGGATGAAGAAATTTTGAAACATTTTATCTTCGGAAGTTCTTTTTCTCAGTTTTTATGCCACTTGGTAAAGCTAAAATTAGGCCTTCGAATGAAGCATCTAAGCACTTTCAATGGGCTTCAGTTGAATTGAAACCGTAATTGGACAAGGGGAATGGCATGCCAAATTGGGAGGCTCTTTTAGTATGCTACTCCCTAGGACACTTAACGAGGAGGAATTAATCCATTTTTGTGGGGAAAAGACTTCATCCCATGAGGCATTTATGTAGGTGACATAGGACAACTGGGAATAAATTGGACCTCGAATTTACATCGAATGAGATTCGAAATCTGTGAATCCTCAAGGATCGAAAACAAGGGTCCCTTGAATCCACAAGGGATTCATTGAATCTACAAGGAGAGAAAAACAGAGGAAAACAATATTTTATGTTGAAAGGAACCAATTTGTGTAGGTTGCATGGCTCAATATTTAGACACAAAAGTAATTACATGTCCCATAGGTAGTAGGATCTGACAACAAAGCATACTAGAGAATGAGATAGGTAAAAGGAATCTGTCAATAAAACGACGAAAAGAAGTGTTTTAGGCATAATAGGTCAAGTAGACGCCTTTATTTCAGTCTTAAACCTATTACCCTTTCAGGCCGTCTGAGGTGCAGCTCTTCTGTCTTTTGCGTTTCTTACAAATATGTTCTGCTTCGACCATTCTGCTTTGATAGATTTGCTAGCGACAAGCTGAATGAGTGGGTGAAGTCTTCATGTAAGAAAAAGTAGGTGGTTCAACCATTCTGAGATTGTTGGATTTGTAGTTTTTATTTTTCTTTTTCTGATTTCTCTGACCTATCCCCTGGTGATAATAAGTGTACCAGGGAGAACATGTTTTCTTATTTTCTCTTCAGGATAACAAACATTAGCTTCTGTGACACTCTCCAACTGAAGTACAAATGTATACCCAACCCCAATCCAAGAAAATGCTAATTCAGTATCCATTCATGACAGAAGTAAGGGAATGCACAAGAAAAAAGCACACCTGCCCTCCTGATGCCACCAGCAGAGAACCAAAATCCAAAACCTTGTGGATGTCAAAGCTATTAAAGAAAACAAAAGTTAACTTTAGCAAGACAAAAGCTGAAATCGCAATGCTTAAGTACAATAGATTACAAAAATCAAGAAGGGAAATGATACGCAAAATAATTTTATAGCTAAGTTACAAGAGGCCTTGCATATCTCGTGTTCCATGAAACCTGATTCGGAAAACTATCGACTTCTGTCAACAACATTTTCCCAGTCAGTTTGGCAATCAGCTTGGTGTGAATTGTAATTTGTATAAGCATTAAGTTCCAGGTTCCAGGATTTAATATCACTCATAATCCATTTCAATTCGATCATGCTTCTCTCGTTCCCCTTTGATTTAAATGTTGTCTTCCTTGACAATTTATTCTTTGTTTGCCCTGTTTTTCTTTTTATTTTATCTATATGTTTACAAAGGGCAGAGGAATCCCAGGTATCCTAGGCAACTAATGTCAAACCCTCACAGTTATTAAAGAAATCAACATTCGGATCATGCTAAAGTCTTCTTGATAAATTCCAAGCTGAAACATACAATGCCATGGATTGCTGTCCATTGTGTATAATATTAGGATAAGTTATCAAGAATAAACAGAAATTGAAGTTGTAGCCAGATGATAGACTTCAGAAAGGAAAGCAGATAATTGATGCAGAAATCAAAATTTGACCTTCTAAATGAGAGCCCCGCTACAACATTAGGATGAAAATTTGAACAAGCTGTTGCAATATCTTTAGCGCTATCAGACAATCCAGATGCCGACATCTCATCTTCCATGAGAGAAAAGAGTTCTGCCAGAGATGCATGTTTGACACTTTCTGCAATGGCCCCAATTGCATGTGCAGCAGCAACCCTAGTGTCCCAGTTCCGGCTACGAAGATATGGTGAAACCTGAAATCCATGAACCCTTGAGAATAATTCAAAAGCTAAATAAAAGAGAAAACTAACAAATAAGTAAAACAAAAATTAGAAAGCTCTGTTATCAAAACAACAAGAAAATTTCACTCAATTAACTGATAGACGTAAAGAATTATTAAATCATTAATCATTTGGCTATATACTAAAATAAACACGTATAGAGCAGCAGCTCAAGTCATTATAGAGGTTTTGCATCCCCAACTCATTTGACATCAATAACATCATCAGATCTCCCAAGTGAAATAATACAATTGGGATGAAAGTCGTAAGAAAAAATGGGATCCACATAATGCAGATATTAGCCTATCTGGTCTGACAAAGCAGTTGAAACAATGGGATCCACATACTTTTCCTAACCAGTCCTAGACATAATTCTGAATACAAGTTATACCCCAGGAAACTGGCATGACAAAGAAAAAGTCAGATAGATAGATCTGAGGGATTAGCAGGGCAAAACTCTAAGAATCAGTCAAAGACAACCCCAAGGTTCAATCATGAATTAGATTCCATAGACGTTGCCAAAGTATATGAGAGAAACACAGGATCCCCCATTGCTACAGCCTGAATGGGCTTGCTTTTGTGGAGATGCACAAAAAGGCTCATATAATGTTCATGTACTTGGAGAATTCTTGAATCTCCATGGTTTCTAATATATTCGTTGCAAGTAGAATGAAGATGAAATGTACTTCACCCCCTTTATATAATGCAACAAAGTTACGTATGAAATGTACTTCATTATCATGAACAAAGTTCATGATAACGAAGTATCTAATAAATTAACGCCGCTTCAGATGGGGAAACTAATCATTATAAGAGGACACGAATAATATGAAAAAGAAACTAAGAAAATGAGAAATTTGCGGAAAAAAATAAAAATAGACTCTCCATAAAGAATGATGCAGACTTAAACGAACCTTATTCAAGAGGGAGTATAGTTCTACAGGATGTGACTTTGCAATTTCCCCAATCTGTCGCGCTGCAGCAAATCTTGTTGCTTGAGTTGAACCAGCTAGTATTTGTCAAAGAAACATTTCCGGAAAAGCATCACAAGCAATTGAGGTAGATAGTAGCACAAATGACCCATTTACAATGTACTCGAAAAAGTCCAGCAGCCACAAGTTTGTTATCTAGGAGATCCCGAGTCTGGAAGTAAGGTCTCTGATGCAACATCCAAAGTTACACATATTGTGAAGGTGGATGTGCAGGCAAGCTCCTAATTCTCCAATGGGGCCGGCAGAGAATATCTGGATTCTTTGTCTAATAAAAGACTAAAATTGGCTAGCATCAGCTCGGAACTAGATGCATGTTATATGATGTAGTGACTTGTATACTAAAACTAAATAAGAAGCAACAAACACACGCATGAACAAAAAATTGAAGGATACTATCAAGCAGGGTAAGCAAACGCTGAAGACGAGATGAATGTTGGGCCATAAGACAAATATAAGATTAGCCTCTCTCATTCGATACAGCGATGAGACCATTCAGCTCATAGTTTAGAAATAGCAAATATCGATCTTCTAACATCAGATGATCTCTGGCTCGTCTGGAAGTATCCCAGAACTAATCGCAAGCACACTGCACCAGCACTCTGCAAACAGAAAGGATAATGTTTCATTCAGCTCACAGTAGCATATGTAGTCCAAAGTACTAGAAAGAAGCATAAAATTGGATCGACGCTTTGGGAAAGTGATATTCACTCAAGGACTATACCGTACGCATTGCAGAAACAGCATTTAATAGACAAATGTTCATTAATTTTCACCGCAAATACCTATAAAAATCAAAAATTGGAAGGTTTTTAACAAAAGGACACTGGGAACCTATCTAGATACGCCTCGCACAATCACTGTAACTTATTTTTTGCCCACAGAAGGCACATAACGTAAGCATCACTCCACTTCTTCACCTCAAGTGACAACTCTCCTCCACATGAGCGGGGAAAGAAGACCCATCAGCAATGGTTGGCATTACCTGCTTCAATAGAACCAAAACAATCACCACTTTGCGCGATATTCTACACCGAGAAAAAGAACAGGATTCTCCCCGGTCAAGTTAAAAAAAAAAAAGAGCTCGAAGAAGATCTACCACGATTTTAAAAACTTCAAAAACAAATTTAATGACACAATTACTATTGGCAACGCAGAGGATAACGCACAATCACAAAAAAAGCACCACATGGAGAAAAAACGAAACAGAAAAGAGCCCATACCGTGATCATTAAATAATAAGATCTAGCCCCGCTGTTTCTCCAGGGGGGCCAAATCTCCACCCTGCCTCTCCTAGGAGAAGGACGCACGATAAAACTTCAAAACCTCCGCGCACGAGATGGGAATGGCCGAAGAGGATGACCGCGAAGACGACCCACGTCGGCGGCGACGGCGAGGTTGAAGGAGAAAAGAAAGGGATTGCCCGTCACTCAGGTTGAATATATAGAAAGTCGGAGGGAAGGGGGAGAGAGAGAGAGAGGCGGTGGAGACGTGGGGGGAGGTGGGGGGAGGTGGCCGCTACAACCCAGGCCGCGAAGCGTACCAGTGGCACGAGCGGTGTCCGGGTCCACACGTGCGCTCGTGATCCGACGGATGACATCGGGAACCATCGTGGAAATATCACAGCCGTTGGGTTCTTCTCCTCGGCCCTCCCGGCAGCCACGGTTTCCTGCGGGGACCCTCGTTGACACGTGTAAAACAATTCACATTCTACATTTTGTCACGCACGAAATAGTGCGCATCAGAGAGAGACAGACCCAAATCACTAATATCTCAGACGGGAAAATTACTCTTTAAGTTCGCTTTAAAACAGTCAATTCTTCCTCCGATCAAAGTGGTCCAGCCAGCCGCGTACGAATTCATAATAATGGTAAGTCTCCCTCTCTCTCTCTCTCTCTCTCTCTCTCTCGCTAATATTAGTGTTCTAAGTGGCCTGTCTCATTAATAATGTGTCAGATTATCAATATTAGTAACTATCTCGTTATTTAATCACTTTTTAGTTAATAAATTAAACAATCTAACAAATTGTGCCCTCCAAAGAGAACATTAATCATCTCATTTTTCGCTCTTTTTGATTTAACTTTTTTTTATAGGTGAATAGATGATATTTTATTTATTTATTTTTGAAAATTATTTTATTAACTGACCAATTTTCCAAGAAATTCAGCATAAGTTTTGAACTCCAATGAGAGCATTAATAATGTATTTTATATTTTAATAAATAATTAGTCGATTGTGAAATAGTCAATATTAATAATTGTTGGTCAAATGGGTATTTAAATTTATAATAAAAAATAGGAAGCTGGTGGATTTTGAGATTAGGGCCGTTGATTTCAGATTCTTAGGATTCCCATAGGGGACGCCTGTCTCGTCTCCGGCGACGGGGAGTTCGACCGCCTCCGCCCTCCGGCCAAATGGCCGTCGCACCGGCGGCGCCGCCCGGCCGCCTTCCCGGCGGCGCTGCCTCCGTCTTCGTCGACCGCATCCTTGCCACCCGGCGGAATATTCGCCGAGGATTTCCGAGCAGGATCTGGCACAGCGAGGAAGAAGGTGAAGGTCACGGAGGAAGGAGGGGCGGCGGCGCCGGTGAGCCGCCGGTGCTGAGGCTGAGCCACCCGGTGTTGCAGGCCATAGACGCTTGCGCGTGCGGTGGGAGGTCGTTCGACCAGGTTCTCGCGCAGCTCCTCATCTCCGGTCTGTTCCAACACTCGCTTGCCGCCGGCAGAGTCGTCGGGAAGCTCTGCTCCTCCGGATCCCCTTCTTCCATCGCCGGTGCTGTGGAGCTCTTCTCCCGCCTGAACGAGCCCGACGCCCTAATCTGCAACCATATCCTGCGGGTCTACGCTCGCTCCGGCGATCCGCGGGGCGGCCTAGGCTTCTACTCCGCCCACATGCTTCCCCGATCGGTTCTTCCGAATCACTTCACCTTCCCGCTTCTGGCAAAGCTCTGCGCGGATCTTGGAGTGGTGCCGGAAGGGACGAAGATTCACGGTCTGGCTATCAAACTCGGCTTCCAGTCGGATCTTTTCGTGCGGAACTCCCTGATCTACATGTATTCCTCGTTTGGTCACGTCGATTCCGCGCAGCAGATCTTCGATTATCGAGCAGGATCCAATCTGGTGACCTGGAACTCCATCATCGACGGGTACGTGAAGAAGGGGATGACGAGCCGAGCACGGGAGCTGTTCGACGAAATGCCTGAGAGGGATATATTCACCTGGAACGTAATGATCGCAGGGTACGCAGGAATTGGCGACATGGAGACATCCAGGAAACTGTTCGACGAAATGCCGGAGAGAGACACAGTCTCTTGGAACTCGATGCTCCTCGGCTATGGAAAGGGGGGCGCTATCGTGCACGCAAGAGAGCTGTTCGACGCCATGCCGAGCCCGAATCTGATCTCCTGGAACACCATTATCGCCGCTTACGTGCGGGCTAAGGATTATAGAGAGTGCCTGAGCTTGTTCGACAGAATGATGGCCATGGGAATCCGACCCAGCGAAGCCACCCTGGTAAGCGTCCTCACTTCCTCCTCTCATCTCGGCGACCTCAACAGAGGCAAATGGGTCCATTCCTACATCAAGAAAGCTGACAGTCGTATTGAGCTCGATCTGCTGCTTTCAACCTCCCTCCTCACGATGTATTCCAAGTGCGGAGAGATGGATTCTGCTGAGGAATTGTTCGATCAAATCCCGCAGAAGGGCGTTGTCGCGTGGAATTCAATGATCATCGGATATGGAATGCGTGGGCGCGGGGAGGAGGCCGTGGAGCTGTTTTTGGAGATGGAGAGGGAAGGGCCGAGGCCGAACGAGACGACCTTTGTGTGCTTGCTCTCTGCATGTGCCCATTCCGGGCTGGTCTTGGAAGGGTGGTGGTGCTTTGACCGGATGCTCCGCAAGTACAACATCAAGCCGAGGGTTGACCATTACGGCTGCATGGTTGACCTCCTCGGCCGAGCCGGTCTCTTGAGTGATTCCGAGCAGCTCTTGGAGAAGCTGCCTGGGAAGCACGGCGCAGCTTTGCTAGGAGCTCTGCTCTCTGCTTGTAGGACTCACTCTGATCTGAGGCTTGGGGAAGCCGTGGGTGCCAAGCTCATGGAGGTTGACCCCGATGACGTTGGGCCTTATGTGCTTCTGTCAAACATCTATGCTGCAGAAGGCAGATGGGGCGATGTGGAGAAGATGAGGATGCTGATGACTGGAAGAGGGCTGCTCAAAGAAACCGGTGTTAGCTCTGTATCACCAGGTAAGTCTGAGAATTTATGTGTGGTGGAGCAGGAAATCCCGGTGCATAAGAAGGGGATTGTGTTGTCCATGTTGGGTGAGATGGGTGCTCAGATGAAGCTTTCGTCTCGCGATGAACAGAAAAATAGAGGGAAGGAAGGATGGTGAAGTTAAGTTGTTGTTGCCCGTCTCGCTTCTCTTGGAAAGCTTTCTCTTTGTGGAGTGGGGATTGACCTTGGTTTCCATGCCCACGAGCATTAGTACCTTCTTCTTCATTCTGGTTCCTCCTGGTGTCAGAGGTCGGAACAGGAAGGTCTTGGGATGTCAGCGGTCAACGGGGCGTCCTTGCCCAGGTGGGAAAGAAACAGCTTGAATCCGGCAATCATGATACCTCACTGTATGGATCTCCAGGAAGCTTCAGCTATTCCTCAAGCCCCTGGTTTTCAGGTCAGCCCTCAGAAGTTTTCTTTGTTCCTCGTCTCTTTCCTTCAAGTTTTCTGCAACCTCTCTCTGAGTCTTCCTCCTCATTTCACTGTTCACAGCCTGACGATGCGTCTTGTACTGCTTCGAGCCTGAACCTTCTACCAGGCCTCCGCGGATAATTCCGCCTTCCACACCTCAGCTTTTGGGCTCACTATCATTTGATGATGATCTCACGAAGCAGAAGCCATACTATTATTTATTTCATTGACATTAATTAACTAATTTCATACTATCCAACTCCATTAACATGCATCTAATATTAATTAATTAAATTAATCAATTCCTTCATCTTGAGAATTGCTCTTCAGGGGTAAGATTTGAATGACTAATTTCATACTATTCTTGCAAATTTTAACGAGCAGGGTGGATCAATGACGATAAGTTGATGAATTGAAGGATCTCCAAGTTGCATGTACATATGTATAACATATGTATGGAATACATGTATATACAACTCCACCTTCCACCTTGCTTCCGGGGAGAGCTTGTTGCCCTGTTAACTTGCCCTTCCAGTCTCCTTCTCACTTCTCAGCTTCTGAGCTTCAGGGAGCGATAGCAAAACTATGCTTTATTTCATTGAAATATAATATTAATTAATTTCATTAACCAATTGCCCTTCAGGGGTAAGATTTCAAGGACTAGTTTCATACTAATCTTGCAAATTTTAATGAACAGTGTACATCAACGAAATAAGTTAATAAATTGAAGGACCTCTATGCAATATACTATATACTGGAATGTAACGTTAGAAGCCAAGTTATTAATTTTTTTTTGGATAGATTATATTATAGCATAAGTTATTAAGATATAGTATGGAATGCATGCATGTACAAAAAAAAAATGGAAAATTGTTTTTTGGAATCTTAGCATAGGAGGATTTTCTTATAGATTTGATTAAAGTCATATATTGAGCTTTAGAGAGTTGACTTGAAGATAATAATATTTACGTGGTAACAAGATGAAGGTTGAAAAATATTGACCATGTGACCATGTTTGAAGACACTTGCCCCATTATTATTTCATGATTTATTGAAAAAGAAATTTCTACACAGAAATTATCAAGCTTCTGAAGAAGACAAGCCGACGACAATTTTATTCGAAATTGATGGAAAAGGAAGGACACTCGCTGAGGATTATCATAATCCAAAGTCTAAACGAAGGAAGTCAACGACATTTATTCGCAAACATAGTAACTTCTGCTGGAATGTAGACTATTCTTTGTTGTTGAGCTCGGTAGCCTTCTTCTGCTGCGGGGCTTTGACCTCTCCTTGGAGGCTCATCTGGTCGCCGCCGTCGGACTCTCCTGCCGCCGCCGCCGCCATTCCGACAGGAGAACGGGAAGGGCGAGGAGAGAGGAACTGATACTCGATAGATGGCGGCTGTCTCTTTGCCCGCTGCCCTATCTGGTGTCTGGAAATGACGGCAGAAATCGTCTCCACCTGCCAAATTAGGACAATGGCGGACGTCAGCATTCACCTAGCTGAGACAAACCAGGGTTATTCTTCTTCTTCTTGAAGAAAGGCGGAGGAGGGGCTGCAGGTTTCTAAAAATAATCAATGAAATGGGTAGATTTGATTTCTATCAGGTTACCTGTTGCTTGATCAAAGCGTTCTCCAGGCGGAGGCGTTGCACTTCGGGTGAGGGGTGTTTCAGCTTGCCGGAGCCGCGGCATGTGTCGCAGAGAGCGCCATCCACAGTGGCCTTGAGGCGAACGTTCTCCTCAGTCAACTTGGTATTCTCCCGCCGGAGTTTCGCGCTGCGCTCTCTGTCCTCCTGAGCCTGAGATAGGAAGACGATAAAACCACAGACTGAAGGATGTTATCTCTCTCTCTCTCTCTCTCTCTCTCTCTCTCTCTCTCTCTCTTACAGTGTTCATGCATTTTACAAGTAGGGGGGGGGGGATACCTTCATCCGAAGACGACGAAGCACCCAATCAGGGATGTTATCGCTCTGAAAGTAGTCTCTCTCTCTCTCTCTCTCTCTATCTCTCTCTCTATCTCTCTCTCTATCTCTCTCTCTATCTCTCTCTCTATCTCTCTCTTTATCTCTCTCTCTATCTCTCTCTCTATTTCATACATTTTAGAAAGAAGGGGAGAGTGAAGGAGAGGGGAAGAAGGGAAGGAAGGGATACCTTCATCCGAAGACAATGAAGCACCCAAGCAAGGATGTTATCACTCAGGGAAGTTTCTCTCTTTCATGCATTTTGGAAAGAAGAGGGTGGGGGAGCGAGAAGGAGAGGGGAAGAAGGGGAGGAGCGGATACCTTCATGCAAAGATGATGAAGCACCCAATCAAGGATGTTATCCCTCTGAGAGAACTCTCTCTCTCCCTCTCTCCATATATATATATATATTTCATGCATTTTAGAAAGAAGGGGGAGAGAGAAGGAGAGAGGAAGGTGAGAAGGAGGGGATGCCTTCATCCGAAGAGGATGAATCACCCAATCAAGGCTGTTATCACTCTGAGAGAACTCTCCCTCTCTCTCTCTCTCTCTCTCTCTCTCTCTCTCTCTCTCTCTCTCTCTTTCCGTGTCCATGCATTTCAGAAAGAAAAGGGGGGGGAGAAGGAGAGAGGAAGGAGGGGCGGGATACCTTCACCCGGATACGGTGGTTCTGGAACCAGTACTTCACCTGCGAGGGATTCATCCCGAGTTCTTCTGCGAGCCTCCGTCTCTCCTCCTCTCCAGGGTACTGACTCGCCGAGAAAACCCTAATAAATGACGAAAACCCTAATCAGGCTTTAGACCCATCATTAATGCCGTCGCATCTCTCTCTCTCTCTCTCTCTCTCTCTCTCTCTCTCTCTCTTCCTTCTCTCTCTTACGCCTCCAAGCGCCGTCTCTGGCGGGCGGTGTGGGGCTTCCACTTGTTCTTGGGGATATCGGAGCTTTGGAGGGCCCGACGGGGGCCGTTGGGGGCTCTTTCCTCTTCTTCTCGCTGAGGGTGGCGACGAGAGATGTGGAAGATGCTGCTGTCATCGCTGTTGCCCTCGCTGATCACTGTGGACAGCCCTGTTGCCTTCATTGTCCTGCGGTCTATGCGGAAAATAAAATGCGGGAGGCCCACATAACCGTTACCGTGTGCAACAAGAGAGAGAGAGAGAGAGAGAGAGAGAGAGAGAGAGAGAGAGAGAGAGAGAGAGAGAGAGAGAGCGAGAGAGAAGAAAACAAACAAATATATATAAAGACAGATGTAGATATACAAGGAGACAAAGAGAGTCATAGATAGATGGAGATAGAGGGAAAGAGGGAGATGCATATATATATATATATATAATATAAGAAAACAAACAAATATATGTAAAGACATGTAGATATACAAGTAGACAAAGATAGTCATAGATAGATGGAGAGAGAGAGGGAGAGGGAAAGAGGTAGAGGCAGATATATAAGAAAACAAACAAATAGATAGAAGGACGGATGTATATGGACATGCAAATAGAGAGAGCCATAGATAGATGGAGATGAAGAGAGAGGGATAGAGAGGGGAATAGAGAGAGTTAGATATATAAGAAAACAAACAAATAGATAGAACGACGGATTGTAGATATGAGTAAATAGAAATATTCATAGATAGATGGATATAGAGAGGAAGAGGAGAGAGGGAGAGAGGGTGTGTACCTTCAAGATCTAGAAATGGAAAGAGGACTCAATGCTAGAAAACAAAGCAAAGAAACAACTCACAAAGAGACTAGTAACGAGGTAGAAGCCTCTATGCTATATGAGGAAGAGCAGAGGTAGATTGTGAAGAAAAGAGCCGAGCAGATGGTGATACTTATAGGCAATCTTGGATCTTAAGTAGAGATTTGCTCGATTCGACGACTGCTAGAAAGGGGAGGAATCAAATCCCGAGGTGGGAATGTGATATCTTTTGCCTAGTGGGGTCCCCTTCTTGGGGCCTAGAAGTTTCGTTGGGGGTGGCCCCACCAGGATATAATTTGTGACTTGTCTCCTAACAAAAGTTGTGTTGTCCAGCTGTTTTTTCAAATTTCATCCCATCAACAGGCGTCTTCTTTCCGTTATGGCTAGTCTTTTGTCGTATTAATCCAGGTTGTTCATCATTCATGGGTGTACCAAAAGCAACGGTTGATCACTTTTCGCGTGAAAGAATAATATCAGAGGGATATGGAACATAATAAAAGTATGAAATAGATTGTAAAATTTGAAAATTGATAAATGTTTCTTAAATAAGTCATATCTTGGAAGTTTAATTCTCAACTTTGAAAAGTAGTAGCGACAAAAAACTGAAGTTTTTTAATATCTTTGTATTATATAAATTTATTGTGATGAATTACTATAATTGTACATTTAATGCGTGAAAATGTATAATAAAATGTGTTGATCGCAATAAGACAACAAAAAGAATTAAGAAGGATAGGTGAATTGACTCCTTCAAAATTAAGAGGGGCAGGGTGAATTGATTTTTTGCAGATTCTCAACAACTGTCATTCAGAGTTTTATAACGGTTCAACTCACTTGTGCTACTTTACTTTCTAAGGATCATGCCATTAAACTATATTGAACTTACACTAACCATAAAAAATGCTTCAACTAGTGTACACTCGATTTTATTCCTCCAACCAATCTACGTATTTTACTCAAAAGCACCTTTTAGACTCATACTCTAAGAGGTTAACCACATTAACTACCCAAGTGATATCCTCTAGATTAATGATTATAGATCCAACTAAGTAGTAATATTATTTAATATCATGAAACCAAAAAACATTTTTTAAAGAAAAAGCATGTAGGCTCCCCAGAAAAAGCACATATGGAAGAAAGAATATTTGAAGTGAGATCATTGATTTCACAAGAATGTTTTCTTTTCTTCTTGGGATATGGGAGGGATTTTCCCTTGTTTTGTATGGCTTTTTTCAGTTACTAAACTATCAAAGCACAAATTTCCTGATGCCTATTTGGGTGCTCCAAACATTAGCTTCTTGTTTTGTCACTAATTTTTTTTCATTAGTACCTCACATAATTGTTTCATCTTTGATGAACCCATATGTTGACTCATGAGTCAACTCATTTTTTTTGAAAAAAATATACGAAATTTAATAGAGAAAATATCACTAAATACATAATAAATTTTGTAAAAAATTAAAACATTTGAAATATATGAATACATTTTCATGGTTCACAAAGATGTTTAGCTTTATTTGTGATATGAAATGACCATTTTATGTTTCAATTAGTTTTGGTTATTTTGATGTATATTTTCCTCAATTATGATTGATGTTCATTTGGTAAGGTAATTCTCAATTTTAAGATTATCATCTTACCTCTCTACATTTTTTCCAACATCAAAATCATCAACTTGAAAATATAACAATCTTATAACTTTTGATGATGATAAAATAATGCATGTGGAAGAAATAAGTAGTGTGGAGCTATCTATCATATGTGAAAATAATGATTATGACTGAAATAGCATGTTGAGGTTTAATTATGTTTTTTTAAAAATATATATAAATGAAGAATCATATTCTCATGCATTTAAATTCAAAAATATAAAAATGATACCACAGCTCCATGATCTTGTCAATCGTGCTTAGATGATGTGAATTGTTTATTAGAAGATTTTGAATTTTTTTAAGAAATTCAAGTGTTTCTAGGAAATAAATTTATATCCATTTTTGAAACATGGAAGTTGGTTTCGATAAAATTGAAAGTTATTTTTCAGTAAATTGTTATGTCATTTTAGAAATGCTTGGCATAGTAGAGTACATTGATTTTTAAGGATCTTGATGGACATTGATTTCTCTCATAAGACATCGTGATAGTTTGATAATTAGCTTCCAATTGAGCTCAATGAATGTTTCATAAAACCTTTTAATAGTTTCACACCACTAAAAAGTTGATTTGACAACATCTGTTATGGATTTAGATATTTTTGTCATTGAATTTTCAATATAGCATAAAATGTCATATGGAAAAATTGATTCATAGAATTATGGTAGACTGATAAATATTTATTTAAAAATAATTATTAATTAATTATCACTTTAATTTTTGCATTAATGAATCATAATAAGCATGAATTACTATATCTCATCATATTAGAGCAAAGGTCATAAGATAGATAGATATATATATATATATATATATATATATAAATGACTTTAAAAATAGCTATATCTACCATCATGTAATTTATGAATTTAATTACTAACATTTTCTAACGTTTTTCTAAGGTTTATTACCTTGAGAATTATCTCAATTTATCAGGAATATGAAATCAAAATTTCAAAATTTTATTTCAAAGAGATTACTTCTTATGAATTTGCCAAAGTGAGAAGAATTAGCATGAAATGTTAAAGCTCAAAGACCCCAATTATGAGAAAGGATAGATGGAGACGTAAACACAACACCCAAAAGATTGGGTTTAATCAGGCCATGAAAAGGAGGCCCAAAAAGGGCGTGGGTATATAAATCTTGCAGAGGGCAAATGAAAGGGAGCTTTTTCATGCTCAAATAGGAGGTGATGGCTAGGTGACAAACAACTAAGGCCTCAAGGTTGCAAGCATGATCTCTCTACCTTTTTCTCTCATTTCTTAACTCGTTAAACTCTCTCTTATTTTTAGATGATGAATATTATTTAATAGATGAAGTTTCATTGAGTTTTTAATGAGTTATTCTTTTCTATCCCTAACTTCTCATGTCTTAATGATGACACCAAGGCAAATGAAAGAAAATCTATATCAACTCATGAAGTTTCTTTTAGGTTTATGATTTTTTCTAGATACTTTACTTTCATACGAATCTAATGAATGTTTTATTTCTTCAAAAGATCATGTTTTGGCGATTTGGTGATAGAACCATCAAGCATATCGTCATAAATTATTTTTCTGGGTAAACAAATGATATCTATATTCAATCGTGTAGTTTATTTTATATTTATGATTTTTCCTGAATACATTACTTCCTTACGATTCCAGTGCATATTTTTTCTTGTCCAAAGATTGTATTTTGGTGATTTAGTGATAGAATCATCATGCAGATCACTAGAAATTATTTTTTTGGTTTCTTGGTTCAACCTTTCCTTGGATCAAATCTGATTTCATGAATGACACATAGAATTAGGTCAATATCTTTTTCGAGAACTTAGCATAGTTAGTTTCTTATCTTATCTAATTTTTTCATGATTTTAGAAAGTGTTTAAAATAGGTTTTTAGATTTTACAAAAATCGTTTCTTGTATTTTCTGTATTTTCAACTCTTCCTTAGAATGAATTCGATTTCAAAAGTGCCACATGAAATTAGGTTAACATCTTTTGGGAAAATGTAGCACAATTGGTTTATTATCTTCTTTTTTATTGTGATTTTAAAATAAGTTTAGTTTAGGTTTCTAGATTTTACTATAATTATTTTATTTATTTTTCTATGTTCTTGATTTCTGATTTTTGACCTCTAGTAATATTATTATTTAAAAAAGGACACATTAAATTATGAGATAGCTTTTAGAGATATTAAATTAGAGTTAGTCATCTATATTTTCTGATTTTTTTCTAACTTTTAGAGTTAGATAATGATGTTTTCAACTTTCTGATTTTCTTGAGAATTAACCTGAAATCCCTATAATTAAGTGAGTTTATTTGAATTTTTAGTTATAAATATTAATTTTGAGTGCTTAAATTAAAAACTACTTTGGGCACATCATAGACTCAACTGATGTTTACATGTTTTTAATAAATTTACTATTCACTAAAATTGATTATTGGGTTTTCTCAAAAAAAATAAATTCCAAGGTATTGAATTTTTGATGAGTTTCAAGAGACTTGAGAGTCAATTGTATATGCTTCTTAATTGAGCTGATCAACAAGAACAATGGTGATTCTCGGTTTTTAGTTTGAGCTCCTCTCCCTCCCTTCATCTTCACTTTTTTGATTCTCGGTGAATGTGATTAAATTGGGGGATGCCACGGATAATACTACTAACATCCTAGTTTTTTGTGGTCTTCAATAGTCAACATGTGCTACATTTATCTATAAAGTATCTTGTGAGTGCCATCTTGGCCCCCTCCAAGGTTCTTGGGCTCCAGCAATTATCTGTTGGGTGCCTGAACATTTCCTAGGATGCTACAAAGCTTAAATAGAAGATGACCATCTCGAAGAACAAACAGTTCTATTTAACCTTCTATTTGAATCTCACACTAAGGACCCATGGGAAATTGAACTAAGTTTTAACAAGATCTTCATTTTTAAGGACACAATCTCTTCACAATCATATTCTCCTTGAAGCCCACTTGATGTAGTAGTTAAGGCTGAGAGGTGGCAGTGTTCACATTTTAGTCATTGAATTATATGAGTCAAATTTAATACTCATCTCTGAACTCAAATGCAAGGAACTTATCTTAAGCTCCTAATGGTTCGAGTCAATCTACTTGGACAACTACCAGTGAAATTTGATTCACATCCTCTACTTAAGATGATATTGTACTCAACCTAAAGCAATTAAGAAAATAAAGTCAAACTTAACTTGAAACAACTTTCCTCAGCTGTCACCTATGAACGAAAGATGATGTGCTAAACAAGCATTCAAATTAAAATGAGGCATTCCTTACATGTCACTCAAGGAAGGGTTTTAGTTTATGAAATGAGGTATCTTGATGCTATAGAAAGAAGGTAGTTAAATAAATTGAAAAGTTACTCTCGCTGTGTCTGTCACTCAGACTACTAAGATAGTAAAACCTCTAAATCAGTGCATGCCTTGAAATCAAATAAATTCGGTTTTAGATCGCTCTTTTTCCTTAGCTCCCCACCTTGTTTGTCACTTAGGAGTAGAGTACGTTCGCTAGAAGAGGAAAGTCAGGTTGCTGTCATCGTTGCCTGGGCGCTGCCACTGTGCTCAGCCCCATGCCCTATTGCTGCCATCACCACCATCGTAAACGCTGCGGCCACCACGATTGCTCTTGGCTCTTCTGCCTGTCATGCAAGAAAGCTCGCTATTGCCATCGCTGTCTGCCGCCGCCACTATGCCATCGCTGCCATAACTATTGCAGCAACCGCTGTTGCCATTGTGCCGTCCCATGTCACCGCTACACCGTTGCATGTCGCTGCTGGATCAAGCTTTTCCTTCGCTAGTCACACAAGAGGAGGGCTCACAGCTACCGTCCCCACCATCTCCACTCGTCACATGGAGCGACACCAGCCGCCACTCCCCTGTGCCCAAGCTCACGGCCAGTTTTGTTTCCCTTCTCTCTCCTCTACATTCTGTTTTATACCTCTTTTCAATGGGCCTAAAATTTGGGCCTAGTATGGCTGGCCCATTAGCAGGTCATCTTAAATTTCCCTCATCAATTCCAGTAGCAGTTGAATTTACATAAAAATTCATGATATGCCTTCTAAACTAAAGTTTCATATCTTTCAATATATTTCCTTAAAATTGACTTTAGTTGATACATTATTTCTTATTATTATCCCCTAGTTTGCATGAAAGAATGATACCTTAACACACCCCCACAACTAGATCATTGTAAGTCTCTTAGCAATACCTACAATGGTTTGAGTTTAGGCTGATTATTATTTTTAAGGTATCAGTTTAAAGTACAACTGATTCTCAATGAATTTATTTGAATCAAGACATATTGAATTCTCATGGTAAGCATCAAGGATTAATCATATCTCATTTTATTAACACTTCTCAAGGTAACCCATGATAGTTCCATCATCATTACACAAGATTGACACTGTACTTAACAAATGTCATCAAACAAATGACTAAAAACTTTTATTTCAGACTCAAGAATTTTCTTCTTTCTATCATCCATAGTCTTTTACATCATTTGAATTCTCATTGTCTCCCTATTTGTGATAGTTGGGATAAGTAGCTTTTTCCTCATGACTACAGTTTTCTTTTTGTTGTAAGTTTACACTTTCATTGTTTAGCCACTTGACTTTTGGAGCTAAACAATGTACCCTTTTTTTCTTGTCTTCTTCTTCATTTTTTTTTGACAAGGCTTTAACTTTTCCTATAATATTTTGACAATGGATTTCAAAATTCCAATAATTCTCCTAGTGTTTGATATAAGTTTCAACACCTATGTGATATAATTTAATGAGTTACAACATGTGTTTAAAATCTATCAACTTTTTCAGATGGACATTAACTATGGGCCTAAGAAGTGTCTTGACACATTTCTACAATTTCAACCTTTCAACTTAACCATAATTATCAATTTATGCCTTGAATTCCTGACTTTTGATTTTCTTCCCTAAATCAAACTTTACTTCCTTGTCAAACAACAAGAAACAACAATGAACTTTTCAAGAAACTTGTGACATTTTAGGATGCATTCCCTTGAACCTCGCCCCTCCCCAACTATTAGCTGATGTCCTAATTAGCATATGATAAATTATATGAAAAGTCATGTTGCAAGGAGAGAGGGTCGAGTATATAAAACTTGGACACATGGAGTAAGATGGGGCCACAATGGTGCTCATGCTAAGTGTGAACTTTTCAAAAATTTGTTTATGTGATCATTGATAAGTCTTCAATATCATGAGTTAATAATTAGTAAATAATATAGTTTTAGCCTTAACTCATGATAAATAGACTTATATTTGTGTTAAAGTATGAAAAGTGGTTTTCAGTTCATTAACGTGAATTTTTGGGTAATTATGTGATTTTATATGATTTTTACAGTCTTACTTTTGAGATAAATGAAGGAAAAGAAATTAAAATAAAAATATAACAAAATGGGAGGACCCGCCAGCCAGCCGGGCCTGCAAGCGGGTTGGAAGCACAGTCGGGAAGTAGCCGCGAGTAGGGGCTCGAGCGGCTTGAACCGATGGGGGCACGTGTACGCCACTCCCTTTCCACGTCACCGGTGGCCAGCCGATTGTGGGGCAAGGAGTGGTCATACACGCGCACTTGATCGGGAATGTAATATTATTTTATATTCACCAGAAATTTCGGTGCACAACCGATGTGGGACTAAACCCGCGTAACCTTCCCCAGAAAGGGTGGGCAACTGGCGCGGGTTCGAATCCTTCTAGAGCCAAAACTCATATTTTTTTATCTGATTATCGCGACTTTCCTGCAGATCGCTGATGAAGGATTAAGTAACCAGAATCGCTAGATCATCGACGAAAATCTCGTCAACACGATTCGCGGAGCATTGTTACTAAAATTGTTGAACGATTCGCGATAAAAGGATCGCAAATCCATCGAGTAAAGTATCTTCAATTGATCAACGAACAAGCCGTCGTCGGGAAGAGGACAATCCGCTGAGAGACGAGTCACCACCTCCTAAGAGCGTACCAGATGCGATGAAGAGCCTCCTCTTGCTGCGGGGACCTAAGGATGAAGCTCCCTGACATGTGCCCCACCTCCATCTAGCTCCTCTCCGTCGGGCGACAGCCACTGGAGAGCTGCAAAGTCGTCGTTTTTCCACTCTGCCGGGTGACAGCCCCCGGAGACGATTCGACGACCCATTTCATTAATCTCTAGACTTCGCAAGGAGATCTAGAGATTGCCCACATCGTCCTTGTCTAAGGAAAGCCTTCGAGGCCATGGCTACTGCACGACTATCCTCTTGAACGCTCAGAATTCTGGTGCATCGCTAATGCATTGCCGCCGCGACACCGGAACTTTGTTTTCCTGTTTTCAACTTACTTTACGTTTCATTTAGTGATAATTTGTGTGATTTTAATTTCCCAAAATATACTTCATTCACTTACGATTCTTTCGACTTTTACAGATCTTAATTTCATCAATTAAATCGTCTATAATCGCTTACGTAAGAATCGTCAGGTGGAATTCTGTTTCCGCTCGATTCGCGTTCACCGAGTGTTGACGTCATCCTGACGTACGCACCCTTATTTTCATTTTTCGTGAATTTTAAATATAATTCCTTTTCATTTCTTAGTATAAAATTCATAGAAAATAGTATTCTTTGAGAAAAATTCTAAATAATTACCAGATATTATATTACATCCCTATGATTGACGTGGAAAATTAGTACTATTTTTTGGAAGTTTTATTGAATTATAATTGATATATTTGTTCAAAAATACTTCTAAATATCTGAAAAATCGTATTTTCTAGTTTTATAAATTTTAGATTTGCGTGATTTAATATACAACGACTAAGTCACGTCAAATTTTGGCACTATTGCCGGGGATGTATTGCATAATATTTAGTATTTTTATATTTTTCTCTTAGAGTATAAAAATAAAATAAAATAAACTCTTGTTTTATTTTCTTTTTGCTGATTTTTTTTTTTTTAAAGGGAATGAAGAGAAGCAAGGCAAGGACTGGAGCATACTGAAGGAGGGTAACAATTACTAAACTTTTTCCCTTGAATTTATTGATTTTTTATGCATGGTGGAAGATCCTTGCATCCAAGGCTAGAAAATCCTTTCATTATTTCATTCAAAACTAAAAATCTGAAATAAAAATTAATTTTGATAGATTCTGAAGTACAGGTCAGATTGAGAACAATCCTATGGCCATGAAAAATTATTATATCCCTGATTCATTTCAAAGAGCATCCAATATTAGAGTCTCATTAGCACCGAATGTTAAATTCGAAATAAATCTAAGAATTTTTCAAATGCTCCCTGATTTTCATGGATTACCTTTAGAGGAACCTCATCAGCACTTAGAAAAATTTCATATGGTCTGTGATTTAGTTAATCTCTCTCAAGTTACACTGAAAATTATTAAGATGAAATTATTTCCTCATACACTTAGGGACAAAGCTAGTCATTGGCTATCCACATTAGATATAGAATTAACTAGCTAGAAAGACATAGAATAGGCCTTTTTTTGAAAATTTTATTCCTTAGGAAAAACTCAAAATATGAGAAAACATATATGAAGTTTTTCTCAAAGACTAGGAGAAACTTTACATGAGACATGGGAAACATTCAAATATTTAGTTAGAAAGTGTCCTCATCATACTATACCTAAGTGGTAGTTCAATAGAATTTTTTATGATGGATTATTAGAACAACATAGAAATATGGTTGATTCTATATGTGGAAGAGCTTTTATGGAGAAAACCCTTGATGAGATTTACAGTCTTTATGAAAATTTAAGTGAAAATTCTAGAGATCAAGCCTCTTTTGAATTATATGACAGGGATAAGAAGAGAGGAATTTGTTAATTGCATCATGATGATGATTCTAAATTTAGAAATGAGGTTAATCAGATTAATCAAATATTAGAAAATTTTGATTTACTTATTGAAAATATTAGAAAGCCTCTTAACCCTCAATTTAATTCAAATAGTACATGTCATATGTATGGTGAAAATGATCATTTCGAATTTCAAAATCATCATAGGCAAGAACAAGTGCAGGTACCCCACGATTTTAGTAAAAATAGAGAATATTTTTCTAATTCTTATAATCCTAATTGGGGGAATAATTTTTCGTGGAGAAACTTAAATAATATTCAAAATCTAGAAGCACTTAGATCCAATTCAAACTTTGAATTTCGTCCAAAACAAGAAAACAGATTTCAGAAAAATCAACCCTCTCAAACCCAACCTGATACTATAGAAATGATGCAGCAAATGAGTCAAATGATGTAACAAACTATGAGCCAAATGATGCAACAAACTATGAATCAAATGATGTTGCACCAAAAACAAATTATAGAGGCTTTTGAGAATAGGAGAGAAGAGGGACAACCACCTAGCCAGCCCATAGAAAATTCAGGAAACTGTCCAATAGTAGAATTTCAGCGAGGAGAGTCTAGCTGGATAAATTTAGAAAAAAACCCACGAAATGAAAATGTTAAGACAATTAATACATTGAGTGAGAATATTTTACATGATCCTTATTTTCAATTATTAGAAGAAATGAATGAGCCATTAGAAGTAAATGAGAATATTAACACTGAAAATATAGTAACAGAAAATTTGAATAAAATCATTTATTGCTCACAATTGATGAATAAATATAGTAAGGATGAGGAGGAGAAAGAGCCCTTAGATGAAGAAACAGAAGCTGATCATGGAAAAATCATCCAAATTTTAGTAGAAGAGAGTAAGGACAGAAGTGAAGAAAAACATATTTCAGGTGAGGAAAAATCAATTGATTTGGGAGATGTAGGAGACGAAATTAATAAATCTAATCATAATTTTGCAGCTATAAATGTTGATAGTGAGGATGATGATGTATATCATATACCGAAATTAAAAGATAGCTCTTGGGAAGATGAAGAATTTGATGAGTTGAGAAATGAAAAGCTAGAAAAAGAGTTGATTCAACTAATAGGGAGAAACGAAAATAATAAATATGAATATAGAGATAATTTTCGAGGAGAAAATTTGAATTTTACTGAATTCATTAGATCTAAGATTAAAGAAGACAATCCTTCCATCCTTCAAAACCCACAGCCCATTAGAATTACTTCTAAGCTTGAAATATTTCACTCCTCACAAATTGAACAAATATGTATGGAAGATAAAATGGAGCAGGGGAATATTATGCAGATAAAAGAAGACATTAAGAAATAGATGAATAGAAGAATTAGAGATATCAATTTAGATGAAAAAATTCTAGATTGGGTAAGAGCTAATTTGGAAATTATATGGCCTGATCACATTTTATAGTCTATTAATAGAAAATATTATTTATAAATAGAAAGTATTTATTAAAAAATAAGATAGAAATGAGGAAAGATTCTTTTCAAAATGGAAATATTATTTTTGGGAAAAAAAATTTAATTTTCATTTTGTTTTGGCTGAAAGTATGTCAAGGTATATATATGAAGTACATGAATTTATGCTAAATCTGAAAAAGAATATCATGAAACTTACCTTGGGATACAAATATATTTTGATGGCCATAGATCATCTTTATGATCTATGAGCTGTCCAGCTGAAGACATTAAATTCAGCACTGCATGGGAGGCAACCCATGGTTTTTATTTCATTCTATTTGATTTTATTTTTTTTAAGCTCTATTTTTCTTAGAATTTGGCAGTACTTGTTTCTATATTTGTTTTTTTTCAAAAAAGTGCAGGAGGAGGAGTGTAAGATGAAGTGGAAAATTAAAAACGAGGTTGAGGTGATGTCTTTCTGAGCTTTATCATTTATAAAAATATTTTCAATGCTTAACTTTGCACATATGCATGCTTCACTTGAAAATTCTATTTTCTACATATTCTATTTCGATTTTTCTGTGTCATTGAGGACAATGTCATTTTTAAGTTGGGGGTGAAGTATTCATTATTAATTTATGTTGTAGGACAATTAAGAACATGTGTTTGCATTAGAACAGCAACTGAAAAAAATAAAAAATAAAATAAAATTCAGAAAAACTGCAACATCTATTTTCTGGTTTTCTGTCATGAATAATAGACTATCAAAAATAGTAGACAAAAAACAATCCGAAATTTGAAATTCTAGAGACCCTTTTCTCACATTTCAATCCCCTAGACATATATTACTGAAATTCGAAATTACAACTATAAAGAGGATAGTTTTGATTTATTTTTGACAAATTTATTGTTGCTAAAAATAGAACTGAAAATAGAAAATAGAACTGTCAGAACTATCTAATTTACAAATTTCTTACATCATATTACATGCATGAAAGATTAAATCAATTAGATTGATTGATACCAAAAGATACTAGGAAAATTATTATTGAGTCAAAAGAATGATCTAGTAGCATGAAATGTTGGAATACTCCTTGGATACATGATAGATAACATGGATTTGATTTTACAAATTTTCACTTCATGATCTTGATGGATAGTATTTACTTGATGTGAAAATTTGATTGATCATTTGAGTTTAATAGAGATTTTTGCACCTTGATCTATAGGACTTGCGAGGAGAAATCACTTATTTTGAAAAAAAAAAGAGAAAGTAATGTAAAAAATCTAGAAACAAAGAGTATACATGAAGGGTGTGAGACATCATTCTCATTGTCGAAAATCGTGTATAGAAAAACACTTGCTGCAAAATAAGTGGATAAAGTGAAAGCCCTGAAAATGAAGAGTACACATAGAGGGTGTGAGACATCATTCTTATTGTCGAAATTTGTCTATAGAAAAAGTTACTGATCCATTATTTATATATATATATATATATAAAGAAGGAAGAAATATAGTGCACACTTCAAAAATCAAGCCATGGAAAAAGAGAAATGTAGGATCAATATTATTCTTGGATGATTATTGATAATTAGAACATATTGTAAATATATCTATGAGTGAAGAAGTGATAAAGATATGAATTGAAGAAGTGAAGTCTAGATTGTTATTCCAAGGAGTGCTTAAACATTTAAGTGCTTGACATCATTCTTAAATACTTGATATAAGAGTCCAAAGTGTCTAAAGGTGCATCATTTCTAATTATATTTTTTTATGTATTAAAATATGATGTTTGAGATTTGTAATTTTTTTTTTCGTAATTCCATTGCTAAGGGACTAGCAATCATGAAAAACAGGTCAAAGCAATAAGTCAAAATGTTGAAAAAGGGTTGGGTTGCGTCGCAACAAACATTATGTTTAATGTCCATAGCTAGACATTATACTACTCAAGGGTCTTGTAATTGGATTGATTCTTTGAAGTTTAACTACTCATTTTTCAGGTATGATTTCAAGCATTGCTCATTTGGTACAAAAGGTCCAACCTTCCTTTTGATCTAGAATCTTGACAACACTACTCTCACTAAAGTTCAGAACTATATGTGGTCTATCTCATCTTGATTTTTAATTTGCTTGAATATAATGGAAACTTGGAATTAAATAGCCACACCTGATTTATTTTAAATTTTTTTCTATAAATGTGACAATCATGGAAGGTTATCATTTTTGTTTTATAAATTTGAAAACTTTCATAAGCTTCATTCCTCAATTCCTCTAACTTAAAAATTTATAATGTTTGATGGTTCCCAACTTGAGGAAAATCCATATTATACTATTTTATTGGCCAAAATACTCTATGTTCCAACTCCATCGTTAGGTTATCTGCCTCACCAAATACTAACATATAAGGAGACATTCCAATTAGGGTTTTTTAGAGGGTTCTATAAGTCCATAGAACACCATCCAACCTTATAGATTAATCTTTTCTATTTGGTTTTATAATGTTTTGTAGAATATCTTTAATATCTCTATTTGAAACCTCAACTTGGTCATTTGTTTGAGGGTGATAAGGTGTTGCAGGTTTATGGTTAACCCCATACTTTCTAAGGAAAGTTTTGAAATGATAATTATTAAAATGTGAACTACCATCACTAATAATAGCTATTGGATAGCTGAATCTAGAGAAAATATTTTTTTGAACAAACTTTTATACTACCTTGTGATCATTTGTTTTTATGTGGATTGTCTCTATTCATTTTGGCCCATAGTCAACAGCCTCTAAAATAAATTCATAACCTAATGATGGTGGAAATAGACTCATAAAGTCAATGCCCTATACACCAATAATCTCAACTACTAAGACGGGTTTAAGTAGCATCATGTATTAGAAATGTTCGTTACAACCTAACAATTAAGGTAAGTTTTACTAAAGTGATGTGACTCTTTAAATAATGTTGGCAATAAAATCTAGATGGTTATTTTCTCACTAGAAAATTGCTCACCACATGGTAAAGAATGGCAGAAATTTAAAACATTATATTACTTGTTCACTAGAACACATTGTCTAAGGATTTGATCAAGACAAAAATAGAAGAATTTTAGATCATTCTAGAAGTAGTATTTCAGTTGGGATAAAAAGATGTATTTTCCACTTTTGTTCCACCAATTTGGATTTTTTCTATCACCATATAATTGATTATATGTGTATACCATGGTGAATTCGTTTGCCCAACAACAAATAGTTGTTCATCAGATGAAGAATATTGAAATGGTATATTGTCTAAGATGTTAAATCTATAGAAATAGTTAGCAATTGCATTTGTGGAGCCCTTATTATCTCTAATATCAAGGTCAAATTCATGTAATAGTAAAATTCATCACATTAGTCTTGGTTTCACTTCCTTTTTGTGAGAAGATATTTAAGGCCTAAATAGTCTGAATAAATGGTTACTATTGCTGCTAAAAGGAAGGATCAATTTTTTTCTAAATCAAAGCTCCTTTTCAATGTAGTATAAATGAATTTGAGCATTACATGTGGTCTTGCTTGCATAATATATT